TAACAAATGCAAAAATATATCTCATGCCTGAATGAGAAAAAGTAGAATCTGAAAATAAAACTTTTTGTTTTGTAATTGCCAAACATTGTATGTAAAAGTTTGAAAATGATGGAAAACAGAGGAAAAACAACAAGGATACAGTATCCTTGTATCCAATGCTGGGTTAGAAGTTAGTCTAACACTATAATAAATGCATAAATGGAACATTTTAAAAGTTTAAGTCACTCTAGAAACCACAAATCAAAAACATTGGGCATAGTCTGATGACAAGCGTAATTTAACAATGTTAACTGTTAGTATCACTAGACGAGAACATAACTCAATTTATTTTCCTGTCAAAAGCAACAAGAACTCTTTTTTGTTTTATTCTTCATACAAAAAAGGAATAACTAATGCTTTTAAAACTACAAACACGAGCAGATTGGAGATAGGTATTTTTTAAAATTTAGATATTTAATCAGCGAACTAACCTGTGTTCTTGGACATGCCTCATTTAAATAAAAATTTCAGCTGATGCTGATGAATCTGAATCATTCTTTAAGAGTTTGATTATAGGAAACGGACGACATTAAATGTAACAAAGGAATTGACAAAAGAAAAGTAGTGGAACAATATAATAATTTATCAAATAAATGCAAGCTCAGTATAATTTTCCAAGGGTGCAACTTTTCAGTCTGTGCACCAGGCTGTTGAATGAAACCATGGTTTTTTGGAGTGGAGTTTGCAAGTGGATGTGATGTCAATTAATGGAATATGAAATTACTTGTCACCAAACAAGATTTTTGTTTGTTCTTTGCACTCACCAGCTGGCTTGGTGACTCATTTGACGTTAAAAAGATGGGGGATTCAAATTCTCTGGTGAACATGTTAGTAGAACCTCCTTCGTTGCACACTGCACTAGATGTTAACTCCTGATGTGAAAGGGAAAGATTACTGAAAACTCCAGGGCACTGATGCTAAATGTTAAAAAATACAAGTGAGTTCCCGAGCTGTAAAGCACAAGCATTTTAAGCACAAATGGACACTGTTCCAGCTTGTACATCAGAGGTATTGGCTGTGAGAAACTGGTGGGACAATGGGACATCAGAATTGATGGATTCGGGAGTCTTGGGCTTTAGTGGTAAACCCTTGCAAATATTTCTGAAGGTAGTCTCTTACTAAAAGGGCTAGACAGACAGAAGGGCCTCTCTTAATGTTCTATGCACTGTAGCTACAGCCTACTGCATTACCAACAACAATAGGTTGTCTACTGCTGCCACCCTTGAAGAGATTAATTCATCATACTGTAAACACAGCTCATGTGATTATTATCTATTGTTTTATTGTTTGCATAATGGTTCTGTTTTTCCAACTGCAGTGCGCAAATCGGTGACTAATCAAAACATTAGTGTTTTCTAGGATTTGTAAACTATTCTGGCTATTTTCAGATTTTTTTTTCTTTTTGAAGGTTGAACTTCACATCATTCCATGACCTTTATGGAAAAGCCGTCTCATAGATCTGTTGAGCAAAGGAAGGATGTCTTGTACAGCCTTTTTTTCCCCCACGTTTTCATTTTTTCCTTGTTCAGCTAGTCTCTTCTTTGGTTTGCATCTTCTCCGCATAGAATCACTCTGAGGTGGTAAATTAAAGACTTAGAAAGGCCCACTCCCTGTCTTTGATTTCTACAAATTGGACAATGCTGCTCTCAGATATTATTGGCACCATTTAATTTATTAAAAACAGAACTCAAAATCTGCCAGAGGCTAGCCAAACCCCCGCATAGAGTTGTATAAACACCAGGCTTCCTTTGAGAATTATTTGGCACAGACATTTTCATCTTTGAAATCCACCTCAACAGGTGCCTGTCTAATAAGAGTGAACCTACAGCTTGGCTGTTTCTTTCTAGCTCTGTGTAACATATTAATCCTTTGCTGGAAAAGCATCTCTGCTCACTACATTGTTGCATCTGACAGGTATAATTATGTTAGCATAATAAGACATATTCTGAACATGAAAACGGCGCTCATAATTCTCCTCAATTATGTAATCGCTTTGTTCTGTGTGCATTCAAGCTCCTCTGTTGAATTCTAATATTCTAATTCGCCATCCCGTGCATTAACACAGACAGCTATACCACTGCTTTCATAACACACTCGCTGCTGGTGGGTTTTAGTTTTGCGTGGGCACACCAATGAAAAATGGCAGAGCTTAGCTCTAAGTGAAGTGATTGATTTTCATAAATTTCACCTGGTTGGCATTCACACAAAGCCGTGTTTGTGGTAGAGTCCTGCTTTGACAACCTTCTCCAGCTTTGTGATATTCTTCAGGATGGAAAGTGTTGCATATGTGCTTGTTCAGTATGGCGGTTATGCCCCTAGGGTTATAAATAGGGAAAAAAATTTGACTACCAAGGGCAACTGTTCTAAAAGCACATGATTCCACAAGACCCAAACAACTGCAGCTGAGTGGGAGCATAAAAGAATGATCTCAGGACATTTATATTTATTGAGTTTGTTTCCTGGCAACCCACAAAAACAGAACTGTAATTCGATTCGGCAATGAAGATTTTGAAATTTCTCCAGCATTTGTTGAATATTTTAAACCAATAATTATTCACAGCACGATCACCATCAATGTGGTGGATTGGCTACTGTTCTGACTGGATAGGAGCAATAAGGTCCTGGTGGGTGTTGTTTGATTCCATATTGTTTGTTGGCAAAATAATTTCAAAAGATTAAAACCAGTTTGTCTGGTATTGGTTGGTATAGTATTTACACTGTTCTTTGTCTCTGCAAGCATGGGCTACCTCTAGAGCAGTTAATTCATGTCAGAAACTATACTGGACAAAAATACACATGGACAATTTTCAAAAATTTAACATTCTGATGTTATGAGAGATTTAAAGTATCTTGTACACATTTTATTTAGAGATTTATTTAGCAGATGCGTTTATCCAAGGCTGTTTAACATTAAGCAATTACAGTTTGTTCAAGGTACAGAATGCTGCTTGTGACATGGTCAGGTTTTTCTGACATTGTACCTGTACCAGAGCAATGTGATTCTACTTCTGGAGGCCTTTGAAAACCCAGGTTTGGAGTTGGCTGGGGGGGTTGTATGCACTTGATGTTGACGAAAATTAAAACGAATCAGATGTTTTTACAAAAAAAAAACTGCTGCTGAACTGATGGAGTGGAGGCTTAATAATATAAGTAATCATTTCCAAAGATCTTTATTGTAAGAGACTTGTCTCCCTAACAGCCACATGAGTAGTAGTTAAGAGTTGTGAAAGAGGGGAAACAGGGTCCCAGGTTCACAAACAGTTCTTGCCAGGTTGAGTTGTTCTGGTTTACCGCAGGAAAGGTCTGTTGGTGGCAGGGGGCTGACGGTTCAGCCGACAGTCCTTGAAGTCTCCTTGTGGGCTTTTGCTGCTGAGCTGATGGTATTTGTATCTTTCTGGAGCTCAGTCTCAGGGCAAATTCCAAAGAGGGAGGGAAGTTCCACCTGAGTTGCCTAGATTCCTTTCTCCTCCTAACCTTGTATGCTCCGTAATTAAGCAGAAGCTAATGGTGTTACTATTGAGCGCCTTTTGATTATTTTGAGGTTTGACAGGTTTTTTGAAAAATCATCGCCATTAGCCCTTTACAGTGTCATTTCCTGACGGACTTATGCATTTAGTCTCGGCGGCATCCATCTGAGAGTGTCCTGGTATAAAGCTGGACCTTAGCGTGATCGAGTTATACATTTGATGGGATCAGTTGTATGCAAATCCGGTTAATTCTGTTCGGGGTGAAAGCAGCTGTAAAAATGTTGCTGAGTCACTAAAGCCACCCTTTCGTGCCAGCTCTCCCATCTTGAGCTGAGGAAACAAGAGAGAATAAACCAGCCCCTTTGTTTAGGTCTTACTTTGTTTTCGCTTAGGCAAGGTTGCTTTCTCAAGGCCAAATCGAAAAAAAGATTCCACTGTGTGTGGAGCAGATGGCAGGCCGCTCTGACTCACTCAGTGAGGCTCAGTTTAAAGTTGCGGAGTTTCGTGGAGCTTGTTGAGTGGCTCTGAGGACAGCGGCTTAGCCTGCCTTTGGATGTTTAGTTCATCATCTCCTTGTCAGTTCCAGAGAGGGCCTGAATGAGCAGTAGTTGATCATCTCCCTGGACGCTTGCCTGTTTTAACATAAGCAAGTTAAAATGTAATTTAACATGAAGGAGGGGAAAAAAAAAAAACTTTCTCAAGAGATTACTTTGGCTTGTTCATGTGCATTTCTGGGTCTCAGTAAGATTTCAAACCTAAGTGTTTTAGCCTTCATTATTTTCTGCTTACAAAGAGAAGATGATGCAGTCCTTTCAGCAGAATACTGTTTTTAAAGGCCATTGAGCTCCCTGCTGTCCTGCTGATTGTAAATGCTGCCCCTAAGTGGTAGGAAATAGTAATGCACATCACACAGACTGTACAGAATATGGTGACAATTGGTAGTTACAGTACATTGTAAGCACAATTACTATCTGGAAGATTTTAAATTTCAAACGTACACATGTACATGCAGGTTTCCCATCTTCCTGCCCAGTCACAAGAGAAGAAGATGACAAAAGTGTTTGTATTTAAACATTAAAATAGCACATAAAGGAGTCTTACCAAACTTTCCAAATTCCTCATATTAAAACATGTTTTCTGGGAAAACTGAAGTTAGGTTTCAGTTGTATTAGCATTCTGACAGAAGTAACATGCCATCATTCCTGATCCTGATATTCTGAGTCTGAGTCTTTGTGGCGAGTTATCTTTTCTATTCTGTCTATACCTGCATTTCCCTCGTGAATATGTTAGTGGCCCGTTTAGGTCAGGTTGGCAACAGTTTTAATGTATCATAGTGATGATGACTGAAGTGATTTCTTTGCCTAAAGCATGAGTGATGTAGAGAAATTTGTGCTCAGTGAGATGAAATTGCAGAGGTGTAGACTGGGCTTTTATCTGTCCTGATGCTGCAGCTGATGATGGAAACTGTCTCTAAAGCAGGATTTACTGTTGCAGGAGCTTGGCGAAAAAGCAGCCTGGGGTTTGTGCTGAAGGAAGAGGACCAGCTCATCCTTAAGTATATTGCTCCTCAGCTGGGTTACTGGGTAGCGGCCATGTCTCCCTTAAGTGCAGGTAAGAAAATGCTGGTGGCCTCCTGTTGCCTAACTGGAATTTCTGCTTATTGCTGCAGAGATGCAAATCTGCCTCGAGCTTTCAGTTCTAATCGTTTACAGCTTTAAAGTAACAGGCAGTATTTTTTTTTTCCAATCCAAGCTTCCAAAGCATTTGGGATACAAACAGTATATATTTTAAGATAAGACTTTATTAATATTGAAGGAAAATGTAGGCCTTACAGCAGCCCAGCCCAAGAAAAGCAAGACAGACATCAGAATAGGATAAAATTAAAGTAACTACAGCATTAGGGTAATTAAATAAGTATATAGAATACAAAATAAAATAGAGTTAGCAAAATAGTTGTGCGCAAAATATACTGATAGTCACTGTAAAACAATAAAATATGTGCAAAATGCACATAGGTATATAAAGATTGAAAGTACCACAGTATAAACAGTATATTAATGCAGTGTCCAAAAAGTACAAGAGTGCAACATGCTGTCCATAGATGAGCAGGTGAAGGGCTAGCAGTCCTGGCCTAGGGCAGTGTTATACACCCTGACAGCCACCAGGAGGAAGGACCTGCGGAAACGTTCCCTTGAACACTGTAGCTGGAGCAGTCTGTTCATCATTGTAGAAAAATAATCTGTATATTTTCTGAAATATTGGTTGACATGTTCTTTTGATACTAGATTTCGTACTTATTGTGCTATGAAAATGTTTGCTTTTCATTTGACAATTGCCACTTTTTGTATTAAAAGGGTTTTATCTATAATGTGTTCTCATCAAAACTTGATTTGTCTTTATTTTACAGAATCAAAACATTCTGGGACATTTCCCAAGAAATGTCACACATACTGTAAACAAGAACACAGACTCAAACTTGGCAATTCATTGTTTTCTTCTTCAGTCCAGTTTTTTTCTCCGTACTGATGTCTAGAAATGCCAGATTTTACCTGAGATTCCTTATGGACATGGAAGCAAAGGCCGGCACTTTGGCAGAAATCCCCTGTGCTGCAGATAATCATGCTGAGTTCTCTTCTGTTCTTTTCAAGCATTATGCAGCCGTATTACTGAAGAGATCTCTGAAGCCTTTCCAAAATCAGTAATTGCATTCTCTCTCCTCGCAAGGTTAGCAGTATCAGGCTATGTGTGATATGCTTGAGAATTAAGTCAATGCAAAGTGAGACGAGAGGGCCGGCTGTTTAAAACCATCCGCACGTACCTTTACGTTTCTGTGAAGATGGATCTGTGGGTGCTGGCGAAACTCAGAGGCTGAGCTGTGGCTGTTGATGTTGCAGGTCCTGTGGTGGCGAAGGACATCAGCACGTATCACACAGTCTTTCTGCTGGCCATTCTGGGAGGCATGGCTGTTATACTGCTCTTCTTGCTCTGCCTGCTGCTCTATTACTGCAGGTGGGTGAGTCCAGTCCTCCAGCTGCCCACACACTGCAGCCCGATGTGATTCTCTCATTGCAAGGCGCTGATTCTCAAGATTTCTGCACCAAGAAAAACAAAATTCCTCAGTTGTGTGCAGTCAGCAATATATATATATAAACACCATACACATACAGGCTTATTGGGACATTGTAAATCTGAAGATTTACAGTTTTAAGATACATAGATCTTTTTCAAAGTAGAGTTTTTGTTCCTTCAAACAAACGCTAAGATATGTCTATAAAGATGGTATTGAAGGATCCATTCATTCATTTTCTAAGCACTTCATCCAATTCAAAGTTGGAGGGGAGCCAGAGAGCCTATCCCAGCAAGCAACAGACGGAAGGTGGGATACACCCTGGATGGAACTCCAGTCCATCAAAGGCCAGACACAGACACACACAAACTCACACCAGTGCCAATTTTCCTAGAAGCCAATTAACATACCACTAAGTCTTAAAACGGTGGGATGAAAATAAAGTACCAAGAGTTTCTCCTGTACACTGGGGGCAGAGACAAGCTCCAGGCAGACAACAACCCAGGTTTAGGTTAGAACCCAGGACCCTGGCGCTGAAACACAGCAATGTTAACCACGGTGTCACTGTGCCTCGCAGTCTAGAAAGATGATACTCAATCAGCATTGATGTTGTTTACTATAAAAGAGCCATTTTTATGACCTGGTGGTTGTGCCATGTTGGCTGTTCAGACCTGTTTCTAGAAGAAAGTTGATTTCAAAATTAAAGATTTCCTCTTGTTCGTTCCACAAGATTAACAAAACTAATTTTTTTTAATTGTCTTGCGGTGATGCCCTTCAATTGAGACTGTTTTGTCTGACAATTTCTTATGTGGGTCTTACTTGATAAATAATTCTTTGACAAAATAATACTTAATTCATTTTACAAGGTTTAAGCTGGGATACTTAGCATGATGTTTTTGGACAAGCCTGAGTACAAAGAGTGGCAAAATAAAATTTAGGAAGAGGCAGTCTTGTAACAGTTGTGGGATTTAATGTAAATTGTACTACCTGTTTAAGTGTGAATATACAAAAATAGTGCAAAATAACAAAATATTATATTAAACATATATATTTAACTGTTGTCTGCATTTGTATTCTCATAGGAGGAAATGCATAAAACCACAACAGCATCACAGGAAACTACAGCTCTCTTCGGCTCTGGAGAGCTCAAAGAAAGATCAGGCTACATCTATGTCTCACCTCAACCTGATCAGCGAGGTGCACATGGAAATGGTCTCTTCAAGTGGGGAAGCAGACATACACACGCCCATGCTGAAGCCTTCCTTTGATACATCAAGGGATTTCAGTTCCAGAGAGGAATTATTGTCCCAGCATGAAGGCAGGGATAAAAGCAGGGCATCTCTCAACAACTTGACGTCTCGTGGAACCTTGATGAAGGAATATCACAAGTCTGTGGAGACCTTTCCTTTAAAATTGGTCCATTCCAGTGATCCCTCAGAAGGATACGAGTCCCCCGCTCGGGAGGACTATCACAGGAGCTACAACTCCGTGTCTTCTCAACCACAGCTTGAAAAAAGGGACCAACGTGTCCAGGCATCTGTAAGCCATTTATCAGCAGACAGCAAAAGCAGTATCCAGGAGACTGCGTACCCAACGCCTTGTACCCCTGACAAGGAACAAATAATTGACAGGAGGCCAACAGACTTCTTGATGTCCAGGTCTGTAGACCACTTGGAAAGGCCGACTTCTTTTCCCCGTCCTGGGCAGCTCATCTGCTGTAGCTCTGTGGACCAGGTAAACGACAGTGTGTACAGAAAGGTGCTTCCCACCTTGGTCATTCCTGCTCATTACATGAAGCTCCCCGGAGAACATCCCTACGCTGGTCAGCCCCTGCTCCTCCAGACGGAACAGCAGAGCGATCTGGAAAAAATCCAAGCTGACCTTTCTGCCTCCCATCAGCCCTTGAGCCACCAGTCCTCTGCAACCATGCAGCTCTCGACTCAGGACGTGTCACAGCGCCACCTTCAGGACACGCAGGATACAGAATGGACCCTCCAGTCCGCCACAGTGCCAGAATCCATATCCATCCCAGCGTCCCTCAGCGAGGCAGGCCTTGTCCAGATGAATGGGGAAGACCAGCTCCTGGCGGAAAAGACCCTCATAGAGCTGCGAGGAGGAAAACCACTCCCTCACCCCAGAGCGTGGTTTGTCTCCTTGGATGGGCGCTCCAACGCTCACATCAGACACTCGTACATAGATCTGCAGCGCGCCGGGAGAAACGGGAGTAACGACGCAAGCCTGGACTCAGGCGTTGATATGAACGAACCAAAATTTGCGAAAAGGATGCGAGAAGGAGCAAAGGAAAGAGAAGGCAGAGCGCCCGCTGCCATGGCCTACACCCAGCTGGTGTACGTGGATGAAATCGAGAACGGGACAGGCGCGTGCAGTCCCGAGGACAATGCGCTAGGGCCCCTGCTGGACGAGACTCCAGGACCGGAAGCGGATGAGGCGGCGTCACCCAGCCAGCAGCTGGATACGGTCAACAGGACTGAGCAGGCACAGCCACAGCTGGAGCTGCCCACCAGCCCCCAGGAGGACAGAAGTCCCTGCCCTGATGACGGCGGGGACGACCAGGACGAGAACAAAAAGAGCCCTTGGCAAAAACGTGAGGAAAGACCGCTTCTGGCCTTTAATCTCAAATGAGGATTTACCGACTCCTGACTGTTGGAGAGAGAATTGGATCAGAGCCAAACATGGCCGAGAAGGAGCTCTTGTGAGAAATACAAGCTTTCGAAGTTAAAAGCGCTGAACATTTTATGCACAATTGTTATGCCTTTAAAGAAACCTGAATTCTAAACAGAAGAATACTGTAGGCTTTCAGAATGACTGCTGAAAGATTAAAGGACAAATAGCTTTATATTTGTGTAAGCATCAGCCAGATTGAATAATACGAGATTGCTGGTTTTGACGTTTATCTGCCCTCTGGTGGCAGCAGCTGGACGTTACAGAACTGGTCTAAACGGTTAAAGCTAAATTTTAAGGGGTTTTAGTACTGAAACTCTACAAATGTAAATGTTCCTTTAAAGAATGGCTATGCATCGCTTTTTTTACAGTAGTAACTTGTTGCTTAAGATGCCTTTTTGTAATTTTGACAAGTTCTTCATAATTTTAGTTGTAAGCATTTTACAAGTATTTTATTAAGATACTTTTATGTCTTTCTTTTCTGGCCAAATGCAGAATGATTTAAAAACAAAAGCCTTTATCTGAAACCAAACTGTATTCTGTGTCCATCGGTCCTCCAGAATCTACTTCCATGTTTTCCAAGTGCCTTTTCAGAGTTAGTGTACAAATACAAATTCCAGGAACCTTTGCAATTTGGAATCCGTTTTCCTTCTTTAAGTATTTCCGCAGACTAGCCTGTCCTCCATCATTGCATGCAGTAAACTGGCAACTGAGCTGTTAATTTCTGATATTCTTCTGTAGGCTTCTGCCATTTTCTCAGTAGTAATGTGGATTCTGTTTGGCTGTAGGTAGACTAGAACATGTTTGAATTAAATAGCCAAGTTTTATGTGTGAGTGCGTGTATGGGTTTGTGAGGGTAGTGGTCCTAAAGACTGTGTACAGTTCTGTATAGGAGACAACCCCCCTTCCTCCAACAAATTCTAAAGTGTGAAAGGCACCACAATGTTTTTCTTTACAAATTGAATAGTGCCAGAATGAGTATATTCTAAACGTCTATACTAGATGCTTGTGTAACTGAGGCTTATTATTCAGAATAAAGAAGGTGGATGAATTGCACCAAGCACTGTGCATTTTTCAACACTTTTCATTATCTCGACTGTACTGTGATAAAAGTTTTTCTCTTCAGCAGTTCTCTTGAATGCGAGTCCTAAAAATAGATATCTGCCATGTTTTCTCACTTATATGTTAGAGAAAGGAAACTTTGTAGATCTTCTCTTTTTAAGTCTGTATAAGAACTGTTTACATAAACAGGCTGTGTTCTCATACAGCACCAAATCAATATGCTAAGACTGAGGCTTTGCTATCAAACCCCATAAAGATGTACGATTAAATTAAAAAGTGTTTTTCCTGCTTTATTTTAATGAATATACTGTGTTTTGAGCAAATAAAAATTTAGTATTAAATAAACACTCCTGTTTAGAAGGGGAGAAGAAGAAGGGGGGATAAATTAAGCTTTGGATGTTGGCACATAGCTGTTCAGAAAGAGCAGGTAACCTAAAAAGGACTTTGATTTCCTTCCACTGTGTAAACAGACCAAAGTGTTGGTGTTCAAAACATAAGAGCTAAAACCACAAAAAGGAAAACTGAAACTCAAATCAGTGGACACAAATGGAAACTACGTGGAAGTGCATTTAAATCTGAGGACAGGGGGCAGTTTTTTACCCAAAGGGTAGTGGGAGTGTGGAACAATCTAACTAGCCAGGTTATTGAAATTGATACTCTTTTTTCAAGAAACAGATGGATGTGATGGAACAATTATCTGCTAACTACCAAATGGGGTAGTTGGGCCTAAAAGCCTCGCCCTCTCATTTGTTATATTTCTTATGTTCTTAATAAATCTTATAAATTATTCTTGGAATTAAGCCATACATGTCAGGAAGGGAATCGCAACAACAAAATGGGATCCCATCTTTACTCCACAGGTGATTACCAGGATCGTGTCAAATTTAAAGCACCAAGGACGTTTGTCAGGCTGTTCCTTCTCTTGAATGTAACCTGATATCAAATTCTATTGAATTTCTTTTTTCAGATTGGTTTTCAGCAGAGTAGTAGTTGCTCACACAGAAGGTCCCAGTTTCCAACATTAATGCTGTGTAATTGGGGTCATCTGTCATGCAGAGGTAAAGTGTACAACTCAACAGGCCATCTGAATAAATATTTTCACACTGAATATGCAAAATAGTTAGTTGTACAGTCCTCTAAAAGTTAGGCTGCCTGAAACCTGCTATTGCACTGACTACATGTGTGATTAAATGTGTTCCTCTCACTTTCTACGATTTCATTCATTGTACCTATTTACTTGCTAATTCGGTATATTTTTTCGTACCAGCAACTTCTATTTTATATGTACTGTATATGTCTGTATTACCCATTTATGTGTAATGCTTTTGATGCTGCCTAATATTTTAAGAATATTAATAGTGTCTGTTGTATATTTCAATGTTTTGCAGATGAGTTTCTAAGTCATTTACTCCTGTTTTTTTTCAGCTGTACAGTGCTGTGAAAAAGTATTTGCCCCCTTCCTGATTTCCTCTATTATTGCATATTTGTCACAATGAATGTTTTCAGATCTTTAGACGAAATCTAATATTAGATAAAGGGAACCTGAGTGAACAAATAACACTTTTTTTATTATCATTTCATTTATTTAATATGTGTAAAAGTAATTGCCCCCTTACACTTAACTGGTTGCGTCACCTCTAGCTGCAATGACTGCAACCAAACCCTTCCTAAATAATTCAAAAGGAATTTTAGGCCACTCTTCCTCGCAGAACTGCTTTAATTCAGAAACATTGGTAGGTCTTCGAGCATGAACTGCTCATTTCAGGTCCTGCTACAGCATCTCTGTTGGGCTTGGGTCTGGACTTTGACTTGGCCGCTTTTGTGTTTGGGATCATTGTCTTGCTGCATGACCCAACTACGCTTCAGCTTCAGCTCATACACAGAATGACCGGATATTCTCCTAAACAGTTTTCTGCTACAGAGCAGAGTTCATGGTTCCTTCAATTATGGCAAGTTGTCCAGGTCCTGTGGCAGTAAAGCACCCCCACACCATCACACTACCACCACCATGTTTGACTGTTGGTATGATGTTCTTACTGCAGAACGCCAGTCATAATGGGACCCATACTGTCCATAGAACATTCTCCCAGAAGGCTTGGAGGTCATCCAGCTGCTTCTTGGCAAATGAGAGAAGAACATTTATGTTCATTTAAGAACATTATGTTCTTCTGGGTTACCAGTGGTTTCCACCTTGCTACTCTCCCATGAAGCCCATTTTTGTCCAGTCTCTTTCTGATTGTGGAGTCATGAACACTGACCTTAGCTGAGGCAAGAGAAGCCTGCAGTTCTCTGGATGTTTATTTAGGATCCTTTGTGACTTCCTGGATGATTTTACGCTATGTCCTTGGAGAACTTTTGGCAGGCAGGCCGGCCGCTCCTGGGAAGTTTCACAACTGTTCCTAGTGTTCTCCATTTGGAAATGATGGCTCTCACTGTGGTTCGGTGGAGTCCCAGAGCCCTAGAAATGGCTTTGTAATCCTTTCCATACTGATAGATATCAACAACATTTTTTCTGATCTCTCCAGGAATTTCCTTTGATCATGGAATAATGTGCTTCTTGAATCTTTGACTCTGATGGTAAGAGTCAAAATACAGTAAGTGAGGTTTATAAACATCAAGGCTGTCAGTAATCAATCCTGGCTGTGTTCAATCAGCTGACTATAATTATTACTTTAATTGGGTAGATTTTAATTGGGGGCAATTACTTTATCACATAGTGCCAGTTGGTGTTGGATAACTTTCTTCATTAAATAAATGAAATAAGTAAAAAAATGTGTTATTATTCACTTAGTTTCCCTTTATCTAATATTAGATTGTGGTTGAAGACCTGAAAACCTGAACACACCTGAAGAAGGCTCCACAGCCAAAACGTGTTTCTTTTCTTCTCTTTTCATCATGGAATAAACCTTTACTTGATCCTTTGCAGCCTACGCATGCTGACGAAGCTACCTACTTGAACTACTTCGACCTGAAAACATTCAGTGTCAAAAATTCGCAATAATAGAGGAAATCAGGAAAAATACTTTTTCACAGCACTGTATGTCACACATGAACATTATATGTTGCTTTAAAAAACTAACAAAACAATAGTTGTGGCACTGGCTAAGCACTTGATAACTTAGATGTAATTTCTTTATCATAGTATAAACTTTGAGAGATTTCAGTCGTTTGTGCGTGACTTTAGTTTTTATGACTGTACCTCCCAAGCCTAAAGTCACTTTCCACAATAATTGTTTGTGCAGAAGTGAACTTACCCAGTGGCGCCTGATTCCCCAAAACCCTTAAAAGAAACACTATTGCCAGCATTCTAACCCACATGAGTCTCACAGGCCTTTCTGTATTCCCACAGCCAAACAGATTTTTATCTGTAGCACTGCAAAAAAAAGGTTGTCTTAAAGTACAGTATTACACCGAAAGCTACAGGACACAGTCCTTGTTTAACATAGACTTGTCTTTTTGTTCCTGAATGGGTCTCTGTGGGACAAACATCATACATGGTTTCTGTCCATATAAGCCTATTGCAGGCTGCAGTGCACATGGTCTCGTGCGCACCTTTATTCTCCAGACAGCAGGGATGTGCTACTTACGGCTTTAGGATGTCAACAACGTTTTGCACGTCTCTGTGCCTCCTGAGAGTCCTCATTTGTGTGGATTTGAAACGGAAGGTAATGTTTCTGTACCAGTTCAGCTTCGTTACCACCTTCGCAGCGTTTTCAGTTCCCATCACTGACATTCAAGAGACATGTAGTGACTCTGTCATCAGTGCTCTGTAGCGATGAATGTATCCTAACTATTCTCCTAAACCTGACAGGGGTCATCAACACAGTCTAAACTAAAGCTGAGGTAGAAATGCTTTCTTAAAGTATGAAAACAAGCTTGGAACAGGAGATGCCTTTGCCTTACTTTACTGTAAAAACCAAATTTTAGGAAGAAGGAATGTTCAAGAAATCTAAGGGTAGTTAAACAATACTTGAGTATTTAAGACATTACACCGTGCCAGAAGTTAACAAATAGTATTACAAGCTAAGGTTTGTCAAATGACAGCAGAATGCTTCATTTCATTAATTACTCTCAGAATATAGTGGGGTCCACCTAAAACAAAAAAGGTTTCTAGTAATACTCCGAAGAATTTTCAACACAGAGCTGCTGTATCACTAGCCTGTTTTTCATATAATGCCTCCTGCGGTTGTAGTCGTACTATCAAATATTTTACCACTATTGTTATTTTATGCCTTTCATAATACACCATGCACCAATACAGTGAATTTAACGGAGAACACGACTAAGCTTCAAAGGCGGGAGTTGAAGGGTTGCCTGCCTGCCTTTCCACACCCTTCGTGGAGAATCCAAACTACTTGCTTTTCTTATTGCCAACAGCTACTGTGGGTTTTAGTCAAAACGCCACCGAGCTCCTTCGATTTGAAAGAGATCCTTTCGCACAGCTGGGAGGGTAACCGGTCGCGTCCTGTCGCTCCTCCTCGCCACTTGCGCTCACGGCTGCTTCTCAGCGCCGAGGAGGACGCCAGGTAGAGGGAGCTGTTTCGGTCCTTATTCTCTTTGTGTGTGTGTGTTTTTTTTAATTCCTCTCTGTCTGCCTTATTACAGATTTTTTTCAGCATTTCTATCCATGATGGCGGAGGACAGCGAATCTGCAGCCAGCCAGCAGAGTCTGGAGCTCGACGATCAGGATACTTGCGGCATTGACGGCGATAACGAGGAGGAAAATGAGCACATGCAAGGGTGAGGTTGCAGGAAAGCAATCTTTTTAACAACAAAGCGGAGCTCCGCGCACCTTTAACAGAACTGGCACAGCCAGGGGGTGTAGGAAAATAAAGCCCAGCAGCACACACAGCAATTCTCCAAAGGCCCATCGTAATTCTGAAAGGGAATGATTCGGTTTGCATTTATAATTTTCAGGACACTTTGAAATGAGGAAACGGGGGGTTTGAGTGTACATTTTTCATTTATATTGTTTTCTGCTCATGGGAATTAACCGTTTAAAGATCGCAATTCAAAACCTAGGAGACTGTCGTGTGTTTTGTCAGTGGATCTGTTCTGCTCCCAGGTTCACCTGACATTGTAAGGCTGCAGATGATCGCGGATCTTGGTTACCTATATTCTGCGTTTGTAAAGTTGTTTTTCAGCAGGGTAAGCATCACGATGTGGGAGTTGTGGACTGTGCGTTCTGTCTCGTTCATTCAGTGCTGACGCCAAAGGAAATGACAGGACAGCGGTACAGCCTGTTGTCAGGCAGACCGTAGCTTCACTCCTATAACAGCTATATATGATGTATTTGTGACTAAAAATGTTGATTTTCTAGTCAGTTCTAGAAGTGGGTTTGTTGTATGCAATCTGTTCTGTTCTCGCAATCCATCCAATTTGTGTCTACAGAATTAATTGGGGTGGTAGCACGTCTCTCACGATTCTGTAATGTGTTTCTATTGCATTCGCATGTTGCAAATTATAGGTGTTTCACACTTTTTATGCTTCTAAACACCCCTGTTTTTCCAGATAGAGTATAAGCAGATATTTGGGACGCATGCTGACAACGGGTCAGGAAAAACGCACAACTTGTGGGAATGGTTTTAATGGGTTCCGTTAACATAAGGCAGAAAGACTAAGGTTTAAGAGACTTTTTAAGACGGTTCTTGTAACCACTGAAGCTTGCAAGTAACAAGAGAAATGAGGACTATGCTGATATAACCACATCGGAACGTACAGTCCAATTCAGAAATGCTAAAAAAAAGTTTAAACTGTTAACTCTTTCAAGGTCAGAAAGAACATGACCGCGATCGCTTCAGGTACTGTTTAGGATCCACATGAAGGACATGGTGTTCAAGTGTGGGTGCAATAACTGAGAAATGAAATTAGAGAAAAGAAAGCAGCGGTCCGTTTGTAAGAAAATATAATTTAAGCAATGCAGTCAGCTAGATGTTTCTTGTGCTTATCAAGAAAATAACACCAGCTTCCGTAGTTTAATTGTTAAGAATAATCAGATGGAAGACTGAAGCAGTGGGCAACAATATTTTGGGTTTGTGGCAGTATCTGATGTATTAAAAGAAGACATGCACTGGGAAAGGGGATGTACATGTGCTTGAAACCAATAGTTGATGATTGACCACTTGTAAGATGAACTGTATTGCAGGATTAATGAGAGAATAATTAGTGAAGGATAAAGAAAAAAGTAATCTAGTTGAAGTAAAATTTGACAGATTGTTGTTTTTAAAGCGTTTTTTCAGTATTTCTGATTTCAGTCTTAGTGCGATTTTAAACACCAGTCTGCAACACGGTTAAGTTTTTTCGTCCTGCTGCTGTGATTATTCTGTACGTTCCCTGTTTTCATTTATTCTCCGTAGTTTATTTTTTTACATTTCCCCCCCAAAAAACATGACTCTTTTTGTTGGGCAGCTGTTCTTTAGAAGTGAGATCCTATTAAAATAATACCAGAAGAAAAAACTTCTAGTAAATTCTTCCATGATTTTCTCTCACATTGGGCAATTACACAAGCACTGTAATGAATATACTGTAGATACATTTTAACTGTCATTGCAGTAGACAAGATTGAGAAATGTAAATTTATAAAGCCACATGTGAACTGAAAATCTAAAGACGGAAAAAAAAAACCCTTTTGGTTATTTCTCTGAAGAAAAAACATTTTAAATACTTGTTTATATCTGTCAGATTACCGAACTCGACCCCTACCACTGGCTCACACTGATGTTTTTTTTTAAGTTGTATGTTATTTATCTTGCTGTTGCTGCTGCTGTTCTGTGTTTATGTGTTTGGTGTTTCCTTAATTGTCTTTGTATTGGAGCATACATCCAAATAAGCATTTCATTGCACTTGTGCATATGACAATAAACTGAACTGAACTTATATCTGGTTTAGAGCCTAGATGTACTGCATGATGACACCTATAATCTCTTCACCGAGTCACACCAGAAAATATTCTTGCAAGTCTTTTAAGGTCAAAAGAACTACTTGGCTAGTTATAACATCCCTGACAACCAGTTCACAAATATCTCCTGACCTTGAGAATGTTTACTTGTGTTTATCTCCTTTTTATTTCAAGTGAACTTAATTTGGTGGACGATACAAGCAGTCCACGATTTCCAGAACAGTGTCTCCACAGTTGCTCTGTCTGAAGAAATTCTTACTCCAGTTTTTCTTCTCTAAACAGCGTTTTGGGAACCTTTTTTTAACATAAGCAGTAAACACACTTATGTTACTGTTCTGAGCGTCCTCTTAATTTTTTTTTAGTCCTCTGGTCCTGCATGTCATCAGAGTGGCACTTGAAAACGGCTGGATTTCGGGTGAAATGCTTTCGACGCGCTTGGGGTTCTTTTTTTCTGGAAGAGAAGGAGTTATGCTCACCTAAACTTGTCTTTGTACCAGGAGTCCAGGGGGAGACCTGGGGGCAAAAAAGAAGAAGAAGAAGCAGAAGAGGAAGAAGGAAAAGCCCAGTTCTGGAGGAACTAAGTCAGACTCTGCCTCTGACTCTCAGGAAATAAAGGTGTTTGTATAGGCCATCTTTCTGAGTGTCAGAGCAAGGGCAAGTCAGACAGCTTAAAGGCCCTGAATGTTCAAGATTTTTTTTCCAAGTGTCCTAGTGCGTGTTCTTGTTTTGTTTTGTTTTTTTTGGGGGGGGTGGGCTTAATAGGTAATTGCTCTGATAAGTGAAATTAGCTCTTTGCAAGAATCCCCATAAGGAGTTGTGAGGACACTGTTTTTGAGAACCGGGGTTTGTTGATGGTGTTCAGCTGTGTAATTATTGACCTAAATGGGGAAAAAACTGAATGGAAAAAAAAGATCAAAGAGCTGGGTGTGGAACAAGAGATAAAGTAGAAGGCAAAAACTATTTAAACTTACTGGAGTAAGGTTAACTAGAAGTTCTGATGAGGCAGAGGCCATTTCTAGGTAGCATTTGTTTAATTTTGCCTTAGTTTTTTTCTTATTTGCAGGGAAAACTAGTATATACAGTGTGTATTGTTCCTATATGCAGAAAGAAACTTCATAGAGTTGAAAGTGGGCTTCACAAGCATGGTGTCTTCTTATCCACAGTAAAATAGACTGTTCATACTGTAAAGTTATGTATTTAATATTCTGTAGAAAGGAAGAACATGGCTTTTATAGGAAAACATCTTGCGCTGATATGTTGATTATGGAGAGCTGAACTCTAGACCTCCAGGCTTTGATGCTTGTGTCATTATTTTAAAACCTTCCCTCCTCACTGGTAAATATAAGGGATGGTAGGGCATTGTTCTTGTTTTTGTATAACCCATCGGCTACATTTTTTAGGTTGGTAATGAAGCACGTGCCAAGTGAATTAAAATGGCAGCTCTTGTTTTTCTCTGCGTCAGAACCCTGCTATCCCAATGCAAAAACTACAGGACATTCAGAGAGCCATGGAGCTGCTGTCGGCCTGCCAGGGGCCAGCCAAGAGCATCGACGAGGCCACCAAGCACAAGTACCAGTTCTGGGACACTCAGCCCGTCCCGAAGCTAAGTACGTTTTACCTAGAGAGCAGCTGGGGTAATTTTAAATACATCTAAATAAATAATAAAGAAAACTGGAAAATGCTTCCTTTAAAAGCTCTTCCATCCATCCACTTTCTAAGTAAGGGTCACAAGGGGGAGCTGGTGTATAGTACTCCACCGGATGGGTCACCAGGGACGAGACGTAGACAGAGATGCGCACACACTCACGCCAGGGCCGATTTTCCCACAAGACAGGACAAAACCAGTACCAGTACAAAACAGTACAGTACCAGTACAAAACAGACCAAAGGCAGTCCAGGACCTGTATGTCGTTGGGCTCTGTGAGGAAACCAGAGTACCCGGAGAAAACCCACATGAACACAGGGAGAACATAAAAACCCCATGAAAATACAGCCCCAGGCCCAGAATTGAACACTGGACCCCAGCACTGCAAGGCTGCAATGCTAACCACTGCACCAGTGTGCCAACCGTTAAAAGTTGTTCTGTTTTTTTAATTTTCTGTACATGTGACAGCTAGCAACACTTCATTTGCAAAAGCAAGCCCTCTAGCACATCTCTTGATCTTAATAAGTTAGTGAGTTGTTGTATACTGCAACCTTCAAGCCACTGATGGACTTCTTCCATCTTGTTTGGAGTAGTATCATTTTTTTGAGATAGTGTTTAAGATAGTGGCAAAGCCAACGGACAAACTGTCTAAGTGACTAAGAACAAACACAGTGAGCTATGAGAGGAAAGAACACAAAAACACTGCATGCTCCCTCCCAATAAGATACTGCCTCTATTTAAGTTTTTGTTCATTATACATCATTAATCCAGGACCAATGATGTTGATTGTTCACAAACATCTTAAATGAGCATATTATCAGGGAAGTAAAAGAGATAAATGCTAAAATTGCATAATAAGTATGCTTATTTTTACTTTTTTCACTTTTCTATGTGCAATATGTATTGAAGGCTTAACTGCATGCATGCTTATTGTTACCTGTTCCTGCACTGGGGTAACTAGAATCTTTGCTGCGGAATATGACCCAGAACACGATGTCACCTCAGCTTACTACACTGCAGGAGACTTGCAGGTGTGATCCAGGACTTCATATATGTTCTGCTTAACGCCCAGGCTTGCAATCTGTTGCACGTAGGATGGGGTGTGATGTACAGTACCAGACCACAGTCTTCTTCTGTGCTTCCATTTTTGCCTTGTTCTAAAGGCTGCATAACTTGAGCTTCTGTAAAAATGAAAAAAGAAAGACTCTTTTTGTGCTTAACAGCCATTTTATTTTTCAGATGAAGTTGTCACAACCCACGGCCCCATTGAGCCAGACAAGGAAAACATTCGCCAGGAGCCATACTCTCTGCCACAGGGCTTTATGTGGGACACCTTGGACCTCAGCAATGCTGAAGTGGTGAGTGCTGCAGTTTGGCAGGACAGAGAAGCCTTCTAGGTGTTTGTTAGTGTCACAGCTGGCAGTTTTCTGCAGGTAAGAATCAGATTCCACACCCTGTTGCTGGCTGTTTAATCTGTAAATTGTTTAAAGCAACAGTGTTATGATTTATTACTTACTAGGGTTTCAGAAACTAGGGGGATAGGGGTTTTAGAAAAAATCTTTAGGATCATGGCTAATGATATTTGTATTCATTTAAATTTCTGATTTAATATTTGCTGGGATAGACCCCAGCTTCCCCTTGACCCTGAATGGGTAAAAAGCCATCAGAAAATTGATTAATTTTAATCAGATTCTTTACATTTTTTTAGTGTCCTCTACAAACAGCTGATTTTTACCCGAGCAAATGGGTTTGTAAAGAGCTCCTGAACAGACGAGCCAGATAGAAACATCAGCTCAGAGGAGAGTCTCTCTGTGTTGGGGGTCATTAAATATGTAATGAAGCTTAGCCAGCCTGGTGGTTTCACAAGCCCTGGTCTTGTCCTTCGCGACACTGACAGAGTGTTCAATAACACTGTCACCACCACTGCTCTCAGCAGACCGTTCATGTTTTATTGATTGTTTTTTTACAATACTGAGCCTACACCTGTCATCTTTACCACAACACTCTGTGAGATAATGATGTGCCTTAAATGTGTATTTTACTGTCACGTTCACAGCTGAAGGAATTGTATACGCTGCTAAATGAAAATTATGTAGAAGATGATGACAACATGTTCAGATTCGATTACTCACCCAATTTTCTAAAATGGTACGTATTGAATCACAAGATTTTCAACCCCAGCTTGTATTGTGCTGGTCTGACATGGTGAAATTTGAATGTTACACCAGGGTAAAGTGTGGTTTGAGATTAAATGATTTCTGAACAGTACAGAAAAGGCATCACGTTCGATTTTAAGAACATGACTTTTAGTGGAGCCCTTGAAAATACTAAGTTTTATGGATTTCTGGTGTGATGTGTTATCACAATCCTTTCTGGAACTAAATGGGTATTGTAACGTTGCCATTGTAGTTAATACACTGATTTCATGAGTAACACTAATTTAGACACGGGTTTAGTAGATTACATAACTGCTAGCTCATTCAGGCATCTTATTTCTGCAGTAGGTTCTGTGACATGCTTTCGTGAAATGCCTTGTATTGATCAAGATTCTTCACTCACGGAAAACTGGGGATGAAATTTTAATAAGAAAAAAGTTAGTGGATAGGATATTGAATTCATCGTGTAAAAATCTAAGAAGTCAATGACGTGAATTTCTTATCAGGTTCAATACAACATAATCGCTGCAGTTTGTTTCCCCAAGCATTGTCATTTTGACTAACGTATGACACGTACAAGGATAGAGTCAAGTAATTAAAATTTAATCTGGTTGGCCCAGATTAAGAGCTTATGCTATTGATCTGCCCTTTTAAAGCTATTGACTTTTAATCCATTTGTGTGGTGTAAAATGCTGAGCTGCAGTCTGTACTTGCAGACATCCTTATCCTGTGAATACAGATGGGGGGTATTTAAGTGGTCTGAACAATGACATACTAGTTGTTCAGATCTGTCTTTTTATTTGAAATAGTTGAAGAAGGTGATGTCAGGTACCGTGATAGGTGTGTTCCGAGTGACTCATTGGTGCTTAGACTGGTGCCCTACAAAGCCAGTAAAACTAAAACTGCTTAAGGTCTTTACCTCATTTTGTAAAATACTTCTTTGCAATTAACTTTTAAAAAGAATGTTGAATACCTGTCTTGTAGGGAAGTTAAAAGTACCCTGTAAAATACAAAATTATGTATATAATGTTTTTACAACACTGAGCCTAAACCTGTCATCTTCACCACCACACTCTGTGCTTAAGTCCTAATACTTTACCACAACACTCTATATAATGTACAAATATATGATATATAGATTGATATAAGACACTTTTCAACTAATTAATTATTTTTTTTTAATTCGGAGAGCTCAGGGACATTATTAAACTAAAAGGGTGCTTTCCATCTATTCAGTGTGTTGTTTATTCAGTCAGGCTGCAGGCTTGTACTAGTTGAGAAGCTGGTCATTACAAAATGCTTCTTAAGCACTTAAATAACTATCTGTGAATATATTGTAATATGTTGGTAGCGCGTTCTCATATGTTGGAACTAAAACTGGTGGCATTCACTTTTTTTGTTTGAGATTTTTTTGTTTTGGTCTTTCCTTCTGTGACAGCGTTTGCGGTTTGTCTTTCTCTGCAGGGCGCTGCGTCCTCCTGGCTGGTTACCGCAGTGGCATTGTGGTGTGCGAGTCTCTTCAAACAAGAAATTAGTGGGTTTTATCAGTGCCATTCCTGCTAATATTCGCATCTATGACACGTGAGTGAACCTATTCTGACAGCATTCTGCTGTAATTGCCTTAAGACAGCTGAGCGACATTGCAGTACTTCTGGAATGATACTGCAGCAGTTAGGAATTATACATTTGTTTAATCTTGGTGCTGTTGCTTTGTGTATCCATGGCAACTTCGCTGTGTTTTTGTTTTAGCTTTATTACCTGAGCTCTCAATTACAGCGTGTAGTCTAAGATCAGAACAGAATAATGGGTCACAGTTAGCCTCAAGGACCTTTAAATGAAAGTCATCTACTTAGAGAAATCGTGGGTCATTTTTATGAGAAAAATTAAAAATAGAGCACTTTTTTTGGCTGCACTGCATGGAAGCTCTGAGGCTGATCAATAAGACGGGTAACTGGAGTGGACATGTCAGAACTGTAGGAACTGTGCCTTTTCTCCCCCCCCCAGTGTGAAGAAGATGGTGGAGATCAATTTCCTGTGTGTTCACAAGAAGCTGCGATCGAAGCGCGTGGCCCCCGTGCTGATCCGGGAGATTACTCGGAGAGTGAACCTGGAGGGGATATTCCAAGCGGTGTACACCGCAGGAGTCGTGCTTCCTAAGCCAGTCTCCACCTGCAGGTGAGGCACTGTCACCAACGGGCCTTGTAGGAATTTTCCCGTGTGGGGGAGCCTTTGTCACTTCATATTAAGCGATGACACTGGGTTTCCACCTATTTCTCTCCTGAAGGAATCAAGCTTTTCAAACCAGGACTGAGCATGAGATAGGCATATTGTATTGACAAGCCGGATTTAACTAAATTTTTTTACGGTCTAAGGAAGAATGCACAAGTGTTGTGTCTAGTGGGCGAAGCCCTTTCTTACATTTTGAATCGCCAGTTATTTGTGTTCAGTCCACCCAGTAGCCAGCTGTGTTTTATTATGTTTTGACCTCAGACCGGTGAGAATGAGGAATTGTGGGAAGTGTAGAAAGATCCACTCCACCCTGCCCACAATCGAGCCGCTCCTCTCCTAATACATGCAGGAACCTCCAGGAGGCTACAGGGGTCGCTGTTTCGCTGAGAGAGCCCCGGCTGGCTAATCCCAGTCACAGTCGGCTAGTGGCGTGACCTAGGCTCGAACCTGTAATCATAGACCGCGACTTGTTCTCGGTCGGTCACCGTTACCAAGGAGACGCTTTACAGTTCAGACACTAGTCGTCGAACTGAATGTTCTACGGAGGAATTGTGTGTGGGAGGGATAATAGACAGGTTGATAAAATGATATACTAATGGTTCACATTGCACTCTTTTTGTTCGTCTGAATGATGGCCTTTTTGTAAAGCCCGTAACCATAGGTGGTTTTAAGTTATTCATCTTACTGGAGAAATAAGGAGCTTTCCAAAAAGATTTCAAACCTCGTATCTCTTTTTCTGCTTAAAGCTGTCTGTTCTGTGCACAGGTATTGGCATCGATCTCTAAACCCAAGGAAACTAGTAGAAGTCAAGTTCTCCCATTTGAGCAGAAATATGACATTGCAGAGAACCATGAAGCTCTACAGGTTACCAGACGTATGTTTTTTTTCCTTTTCACTCCCTGCTCCGTGTTGTTTTTCCATCACATTTATTTATGTTGTTTATATTTTTAATTGAACAAGAAAAATAGACAACATAAAAACGTAAACGTTAAGCACACTTAGAGTCTACTTTAGGAAGTGTATTGAAGTTCCCTCTTAACCATGCATCACCGCAATCACATCATTCTCTTGAGAAGTCAGTCTTATTGTTTCCAATCTTGCTTTATTGATTTTTCACCAGACTTAATATTAAACTATATGAAGACTATACTTTTCTTAAAGTGTTCCCTCTTAATGACATGCATATATAGGATTTACAGAAAAAAAATCACTTAATTTTTAGTTTACAGTTTTAATTTTTTGTTTTGTGACATTGCTTACTTTAAATTGTAATAACATCTTACATTTTTAATGAACTGAAGGACACCACGCAGTGTTTTATGCTTTTTTGATACTCTAATTATTGTACTTGTTAAACACTGAATTTCACTTAGCTAAACTTCCCAGTTAAGGTTTTTCTCGCTTCCAGGCTACCAAAACTGCTGGTTTACGAGCGATGGAGAAGAAAGATGTTAAACAAGTCCAACAGCTGCTTGAAAACTACCTGCAGCAGTTTCATTTAGGGCCAGTTATGGATGAAGAAGAGGTATTGCACTGGTTCTTACCACAAGAGAACATTATAGATACTTACGTAGTGGAGGTAAGAATTTAGTGCAAATTCTGCTGCAGTAGGCTCTGTAACTATTGTCTAATTGCTGCCCAACACATAGAGCTGCATTTCTAAAGATATTGTTGCAGTGTATTCATTTCGAAATGGTCCTTTAAATAAATACTTCTACAACTTTTTAAACACAAAAAAAATATTATATCTTTATTGCACAGCTTTTAAAACAGGGGGGTCATTTTGACTTATCTAATGGCCACTACAGAGTTATATTGAGGCATCTTGCTGTTCCAGGTATTTTTTCTCCAATCCACATAGTGCCTTCATGTATCTAATACTCAAAGACTTATTTTCACAAAATAAGTGGCCAATTCTTTGTCATATTCCCACCTGGTTTGGAATAGCTAGTTTTGTGTTTCTTGCATCTCATGGAGGAATTCGAAAGTGTGGCCAGATTTCTCGATCAAGTCCACCTTTGAGCAGCTCATCTTTTAATATGTCAATGGCCCTGTTCGTAGATGATTGGAGGAGAGGTGTCCCCCCACTGACAGCATCACAAGCCAGCAGGTGTCTGGGAGACTACAGGAACTGAGAACAGACAGCCCACGCCAATAAATCGCACCTTATCCTGGGCAGCACTCAGCCAGAAGAATCACAGCCACAGCTAGCCAGTGATATGACCAAGGCTCGAACCCGCATTTCTGGATCATACAGCTCAGCCTGCGCTCAGGCGAGCATTTCTGTCGGTTGAGCCACTCGAGACCCCTTAAAAACTTCTGACATATGCTTTGATTCTGGGTACAACTTTTCTGAGATTGCTTCCTTAAGATGCGGTTGAATTCTGTTTCAGGTGTGGAAAGTTCAAGACTTACAGTACCACAGATGCATGCGGTGCTATCGGTGTGAATCTTTTTTATGTATCCTCTGTAGCACAGAGGACTGTGCTTCCACAATGTGAATCTATTCAGAAGGCTGAAGCTGCCCCTTTCTCTTGTTCACAGGGCCCTGGAGGTGTATTAACGGACTTCACCAGCTTCTATACCCTTCCCTCTACAGTTATGCATCATCCTATTCACAAGAGCCTAAAGGCAGCTTACTCCTTCTACAATGTGCACACAGGAACACCTCTCATGGACCTGATCAACGATGCTCTCATCCTTGCTAAACTGGTACGCCACAGTTTGATTCTCTCACCAGATGTTTCCATGTGTCTTTAAGAGTGGTGTGGAGGCTAACACAACCACCCTTATATAGAGCCCAGTGCCAAACAGTTAAACTCATGCAGTAATGCCACTGGTATCCTAATACTATATGATATTCTCTGATTTTCTCTTTATTTCGACAGAAAGGGTTTGATGTGTTCAATGCACTGGATTTAATGGAGAACAAGACATTCCTCGAAAAGCTGAAATTTGGTATAGGGGATGGCAATTTGCAGTATTATTTGTACAACTGGAAGTGTCCTCCAATGGACCCAGAAAAGGTAAGTAAGGCTGCAGAGCCGTTCCTCTATGCAGGTAGTGATTAGTGCAAAATGGATGACATTTTGTAGCAGTTGTCCAGTTGCAGTGCATTAGGAATAAAGACTAAATTTACAGTGTGTAGGACTTAAAAAGCTAATGTCCAGAATTGAGTGGATTGGGTTCTGGTCTTTTCACTGGGAGGTTGTGGGTCAAAATCTTGAGTAAGGCCCTGCTATTGTTTCCTTGAGTGAGGTACTTCACTCAGGTAAGACAAAGAGGATGGCCAGCTGTCTTAACTGTAAGCTGCTACAGATAAAACTTCATAATAAGATTGAGTTCCAACTGAAATATCAGGTTTAATGCACTTTACTGTCAAGATAGAATAAAATACAGGCTTATCAGAATTTGTTACAAAGCAAGTTCTGGAATGAGGCTTTGTTTGTTTTGACAAACAATTTCATATTTAAAGCTTTGCAAACCTCAAAGCCTGGTTTCATTTATCTTTTAATGAATAAAGATAGATTGAGTTATCTGTTTTTAAGAGACATAGCATATTTTAATCAACCACTTGGTAAATGTCAGAATTTAAAGAGTTGGCACCAGTATAGGCGACTATTAATACCAGGCATGATCACCTCATACCTGATATTATCAGTGTTAAACACCTCATGCCCTGGAATACATAGAAGTACAATTGTTCTCAAATGCTTTTCAGTTCAGACTGGAGGGCACACTGTAAATTCCCATACCTGTATTGACAGACATCTTCCATATAATGAAAGGGGTGAAATTTAAAGTAGGACTTTTCTGAAATGATCTAATGTGAAATATAAACATATGTAATGTTTATAATTTTGGAACTGTTGTAGATTCCATCATAGTGAAAGATGGCTTTTCTCTTCCAGGTCGGTCTTGTACTACAGTAACCTGTTTGTTTAGAGTTGCTACTCAACAACAGCGTGAACCGGAGATATACTTTAACATCTGATCTCTGAACGTGGATTTGCTTCGAGGAAGAAGCTCGCAAACCTGAAACAATCAAGTGAATGGAAACCATCACTTCAAATTGTTCTCCTAGGTCTCGCTTATTTAACATGAGAACGTTGTTTCAGATCACGTAGAAGTGATGTCTTTCAACCATTTACATCCTGAATGTGAAACCATACAGACTGCTTGAGACTGAATTTCATAAATATATTTTGTCCATCCGGTAAAGAAATGGGAGTTTCTTTCATTGTCTTAAAATCACATAGACAGACATACACGCACACTTGCATACTCCTTATCAGTGTCAGGAGGTTTTTTTTTAAGAAAAACAAAGCTGTTTTGTCATTCTTTTTGTACGACAGAGGTGCAATGGTCTATGTTTGAAGGAGAAATTGTTACTGATTCCTAGTTTAATGCCAGCTTGATATTTGTTGATGTTTTGTGGGTTTTATTGAAAACTGATATCCAAAGTTTTTTCCTTACTACCTTTAATGTCATGGACTTTGGAGTTTAAATGAGGAGTAAATATGAGAAGAGTGGGATTTTGTACAGTTGCATAAGAATGTATTGCCTGTGTTCTAGATCCTTATGAGCCAAGAATCCTTTAACTTTCAGATGCTTTTTTCAAAGCTTGTGAATTTTCTGTTTTTGAGTGGAGTAGTAGGTAATTTGAGAACAACTGAAGACAGTTCTTAACATTTCTACCCCATTTTAAATGATAAATATTTATGGTAACCTGGGACTGTACTACTTTGTGTTTGCATGGAGCAGACACATTTTAAGCACTGTAGTATACAAAAGTTGTGATATTTAGAAATTGCATTTTATTTCCAATATACAGTATCTAGTATGGTAATACCCATTTGCTGACAGACCCATCACAGAGGGTAATTTTCACATTTGATTTTTATTAATTAAAATGTTTTTCGTATTTAAAAGAAATAAGTAATTATTGTTCAACAAGCATAATGCTATGTCCTCATTATATTGAAAAGCACGTAATGCAGTGTCCTATCACAAATCTACCTATTCCTCCCTGTTTTCGTTTTCTTTGAAGTACCTGTTATAGGTATTTTCAGTTCCTACAATTACCTGTCCTTGGAAAAAGGTCTTCAGTAGTAATTTTTTATTGATCTTGTTTTTTTTTACAAATCAAAATACGAGAATGCCCCTCATCTGAATGAATGAGTATTCTAGCTTGCTGCAGCAGCCTTTGATGTCCCTTTAATTCTGATTCAGATTGCTTTTTACTTGAAGATCTGCTTTAAACGTGATTGAAGTGGTTTTGTGAAAATGTGCTGTGTCTCAGGCTGTCTCAAAGTTCTATGCCATAAAACGACTTCTGAGACCAGGAAAGCTGCTCTGTTGTATGAGCAGGGCTTCCTTCAGGATTTTAAATGAATATATTCTGTACTGATAACATCTTACACCATGGCAGCCTTTAAAAATGTGGACATCTGTGTTCCTGTTTGTTTGATCTGGGGTGGTAGGGGGGAGAAAAGTGTTTATTGCTTTTGTTTGCTTTATGAATCCTAACATTCAAATTTGCTTGAATCTGTACAAATATTTTGAAATCTATTTGGAAGTCTTTGGGATTAATTTGATTGCGCCCAGTGGAGCAGAAAACCCAAAGTGCTTCAATGTTTTAAATGAGAAGCAGCAGGTTATTTTACGGAAAACTTATTTTATTAAAGCCAGTAACAATTTGTGAAAGAACTAAAGGGCACGAACCAGCACCGTTTAACATGACTATCATCCAGATAACTTATTGTTTGAAATACATGTTAAGGTTTACCAGCATGGATATTTGATTGAATAAATTCATCCAAACCTTAAAGGTCTTTTTTCTGTGGTGAGTATATATCGTACCAATGGACAAAAATAATAAAACATTTCAACACTGTAAGTGATACAGCACATTCTCTTTATGAATATTTGCTATTCACTTGTGGGAAAATGTTTTTTTTTATGTTTTATACAGTAATGGTTAGCATATCTAATATGCATATAGATGCCATCTGAAATGTAGGTGACCTTAACCATTTTATAAGGAAAGTATGATAAAAAACAGCATTTCTTCTTGGCTGAAAAATTAAAACTGAACCAAACCTGAAGGTGTAGTTGAAACAAATGTTTCAAAACTTGGTTGCTGGCAAATACATTTCAAACTAAACTGCTGTAAAAGGCTGCCCTGCATGCAGAGAAGAAGTGTCAAATGTAGAGTTATGTACATGTAAGGGAGTAACATACACAACCTACACTGCAGCTTTTGTCGGATGGTGCATTCCCTATCTAAACATCTCGCAAGATACCCAAGGACCAGAGCTGCCCACTATGTTTACCCCATGGCCAACAGAAAGCAGTAAAATATTATTTGAGATAAGTCTAAAATTTGAAGTCTTGTAAACAACACTGAAATCTTTTTGCTCCCGTTTGCAGCCACCAAAGTAGTTTCCTCAATCAGGGTCTCCTCTGTTTCATTCTTAACTCGGAAATCACCAGCTTTTACACTTGTTCCAAACATGGCAGACATTGGCATTCAGCCTGAATTTGGACAATAATGCCCCAAAAGCTCACTTCTAGCCCTTTAGCTTCTGACTGGTTTTCCGCTTCGGTTTGCGAGTCTTATTAGGATTGGGAATCACTTTTCTTATTTTAAGAGGTTGTAGGGATGCCAGCGTAGTGGTCCCAAGCTGCTCCTCCACCTCTGGGCTGCACACATCGACCTTCCGTTTCCGGCTGGTGGCGGGTTCGCTCTCCGCGCGCTCCCCTGAGGGGGCCTGCTCCGCGGCAGCCTTCGTCTCGGCTCGAGCTGGAATCCACGACGCCTGGAACGGAGGTACTTTTGGAGTTATGGCTCTGACTTCGTCGCCAAAGGTCTCCGAGTCCCTCTTGAAGCCCAGGGCAAGGATGCACTTCAGGCCTAGAAGGGAGGCTATGTTCTCGCTGAGACGGGGCACCTGACAAGCTGGCACTGCCCTGGTCTCGCTGAGTGGAATCAGGTGATTGGTCATGTGGTTGGGCTTGGCAGACTTGCAAACCAGCACCAAGCAAAGCTCATTCCTCTCCAAGGCCCTGGTTACTTCATTGATGCCTATTGCAAGCTGTTGTCTAAGAGCAGGATCAGTCCATCCTTGCTGCTTAAAATCTGGAGGACCGGCAATCTCTCCCTCTGCTTTCGGGGGAGGCTCGGTGACGGGCTTTTCGGTACTGGGCTTTGGCTTTTTTTTGCGCCACTTCCGTATCTTCCTAGCCTCCTCTTTCCTCTGCAGCCCAAGCTTCTTGAACTTCTCCTGCAGGACTTGTAGAACAAAATGCATGTCTTCTCCCCCCAGCGGGCTCCATTGCAAGGTGTAAGGGTTATTGAGAGAGGTTTTAGCAGGGACGGGTTTTTTCTTACGTATTCCTTTGCCTGCTGTCGACATTGTTGACGTCAGGAAATGCTAAAACAAATCAAAGGAAACAGAACAGTGTAAGAGCAGCTGACTGATGCCCGTATCTCCCTCTCTTTTAAACTGTTATAGAAAAGAATCAAGTAACATCACTTCTTTTCCTTGTACTGCTGTTTGCGATGAGAGGACTGGCCACAGCATTTGCTCAAAATCGCAAGCTAGAGCAGTGTACTTTTTCTAAAAAAAACATTATCGGATTTAAAACACGTGACAGGCGTGAACTGCAGTATTATTGAGCGCAGGTTTTACACGATTCAAAACTTGTTCACAGCTCTCCACTTCTTAACAGTCGTAAAGGACACATATGTAAGTTACTAGTTACAACCACTTCAGTTTAAAAATGTAAATTACACGACTACTTACAGATATCTATCCCCAAACGTAACTTACTAACGAAGATACGTAGGGAATTTTTCCTTTACTTTACGCATTTCTCATAAAAAATAAAGACACGATATCGTGAAGAAAATAGTGACTCTCAATGAACCTCGCGGAATTTTAAGGTGAACCTGATCTTTGCCAACACCGTGATGCAGAGCCGTTTCTGGTCTGATAGTTTTCTTACTGATTTGAAAGAAATATATTTAACCCCCTAACGCTGATGTTATCAAACATATTGGTAAAGACAAACAAATAAACACTTGGAAAATGAAAACCGTTTACTTACACGCTCCTACGCGAATAAAAATTACCGCGAACACATACACGCCTACATCAAGGGCGCAGCCATATTGTTTTGGTTTGAATAACTTTATTGTTCTCCTGTGCTTTACCGTTTGTATGCCCGCAAAATGAAAGGGTGTCCTAAAAAGCCATATATGCATTTTTTTTTAACCGCGGACTTTGTTTTTAAATCAAATCAGAGGTGGGGAAACTCACTTCAAATTAACAGTATCTAATTATTGTGTGTTAACGCAGTCACAGCGGAGAGCTACAGCTATCTCGCCTGGTTCTTACACGAAACGTGCTCTGCGGTGCCGAGAAAGCCAGACCTGCTGGAGACCGCGCAGTATTTCCACGCCGCACCTGCAGCAGTGCCCCTGTTCCCAAACAACTGTGCGGGACGTTTTACAGCCGATGGGGTCAAAAAGGTACACGCAAGCTGGGGACATTTCAGTAACCGGCGATCAACTACAGTAGACGCCCTGTCAGTCCCACCGCGACCCCCACGCCAATAATTGTTTTTTTCCCCCAATTAATTTATATTGGGTAACGGAAAACATACCTGTATAGGTTGAGTTTCATTTAAATTTAGTATGTATTTTTAATTTTTGTGAGTCTTCTATTATTCGTTATTATTATTATTGGAAAAAAAATAATTTCCCTGTGTAACTGTAGTAAAAGTGGTGTGGGTTCGAAATACTCACTGTATTGCCTAATTCTTTATCGCGGAGGTAACGAAAGTCTTTACTACAGGGATATTTAAAAAAAAAACGGAAACCACTAAACCATAGTTTCAACAGTACTAATAGTGTATTGTGAAGGAACAAGTAAAGGCTTATTCCATGCTGAAAAGAAACAACGTTTCGGCTGTGGAGCCTTCTTCGGGCGTGAATACATCCAATTCAAGTGGCATAATTGTTATTTATGGGGCAGTGGTTATTCTCAGCATATTTTATGCTAACTGTAACGCGTGAATGTGTAGTGGCGTAGGTATTAAGGCTTTTTTTCATTATTGGGATTATTTTATAGCGATAAAAAAGACGAAGCCATCCCTGTTTATTCGTTTACATGTACAGGAGCATGTGTTAGCTACAGTATAGTGTCAGTTTTCCATGAAGCGACGCCAGCTGTTTGCATTCAATGACCGACAGGCGAATTTTAATTCACCGGGAGGCAAGACGGAGGCGAGCGCGGTTGAAAATAAAGATCACCCTGGAGAAAAGAGGCTTATTCAGCGAGGTGATGTCATTTCGGATGCGGTGTACAGCGACAGCCAATCAGACACTGCTACCTGCCCAGCTGCGGAGAAGGGCCTCTCTGGCTGCGGAATATATAAGCGCATAATTAAAGGAGATTGCAGGATCCTTCAAGCAATTAATCAAAGACGAGCTGCGGTCCGCAACCATGTCTCTCCAGGTAAATAGTGATACATAATACGAACAAAGGTACCGTCCTTTGCTCTTTTTATCCATGTCTGTATAGCACGTTCTGATATTGACGATAATTCGCGATTTCATTCATATTTAGGGAGGCTAATGTTTTTGCAAAACTGTTGTTGATGTACAGCCTCCGTTCGTTGGCAACTGTTGTTGTTGGTAACGATTTGTGATGGGATGTCGGTTTTAGTGTTGTTTTTCCACCTATTTCAAAGGAATTTAAAATCTTTCGCTGATTTGCTTGAGTAGTTCACCTCCGCCGCAGGAATTTCACTGCAAGATGCCGCTTTGCATAGTTAGTACTTTTATTACAATTTTTCTATATATTTAGTTTTTTCTTCCAGATTGAAAGCGCCAACGTCATGTACGCGAATAGGCACTTGTTCATGTAAACTATAGAGTCAATCTTTGAGGAGCAAATATTTCCTTTTAACTTGGTTAAACCATCCACTCATTTAATTTGTAATTGTACAGTGTCAATACAGTATGTATAACACTTATGGTGAAGGGTTATTTTATGAATGTCAAATTAAGGCGGCACCAGAAAGTGAATTCGCCTGGGTAAAAAAAAAATAAACATCATAAGAGTAATTGAAATAAGTCCCTTAAATTTCTGAAAGTAGATTTAGAGTATCTAATTTCACTTTTAGAATTGGTTAACGCGGAAGACTTGTATTGTGTGTGTAGATTGTAGGGGATCAGCAATGTCATAATCACTTACCTAATCACAATCTTGGTAAAATTAATAGAAGCATTTCCTTTAAAATAAATAGCGTTCACACCACAGTTAGGTTATAAACGACCTTTAGACTGTCTCTTCCCACTACTTCCCAGATTTAAGTAGGGAAAGGACGGTAACCGTAAGACAGCCGTTGTTATTATAAATTCCAGGCATTAGCGATTTCTAACAATGCGTCTTTGTGTTCTGGAAATCTTTTTGCAGTGTAGTGCTGGTAGTTGGAAAGAAATCCGACAGCTACATTACTTTAAACCACTTCCACACCACTTTTACTACAGTTACACAGGGAAATTAATTTGTTACAAAAATAATAATAGAAGACTCACAATGATTAAAAAACACTACATGTAAATAAAACTCTATCAATTGAAATATTTTTCTAGTTACCTAATATAAACTAATTGAAAAAAAATCACCAATATTATATTTTTCATGCAGATTTTCGAAGTTCGAACTAGACCTACTGTATGCCAAGTACACTAGTTGTATTTTTATGTCAACTGCAACTTTAATGTAACGGAGAGCAAGCTCGTTAAAATACCTTAGATATTTCTAAGAATAATGCTAAGTTAGGGTGGGTAGCGGCGTCGGCGTCCGTAGTCTGCAAAGGAACAAGTCATAGGTTTATTCCATGCTGGAAAAAACAAAGACGGGGCAGACAGCAAAGATTAAATAGCACAGAATGCGAAGTTAGTACAGTACAATGAATGAAATCATGACTGCAGAGTACTATTTGTATACTTTCTCACCTCAACCCTTAGGACAGGGACAGTAGCATGGACCGGAAAACATATTAAGGAATCAACTGTTGTGTGTAGGCATCGGGCAAGCATGATGCATTATTTTAAATATCTAATTGACATATATCGTTTCACACTTACAATGTGTTCTGTAATGCCAGTAAAAAGTGGCCATTTTAATCAAGACACGTTGATAATGGAATCTAAGACCACTTTCAGTGTAAATTGATATCCTCGTTTTTCTTTTGTTAGGTTTGTTTATAATCCACTAATTCACCTTTTAACATTGACACTCATTAGGCATGCAGTTTAAATCGAATCTGGTATTTATTACCGAAGAGTGAAGCCGCAGGATATTGTGGAAAACAGAACAAACGGGGAATCATCAGTCTGTTCTCTGAAATATGCGTATGCGTCGTCTTCTAAACCTCGCTGTGGTCCGGTTCCTCACACTAAAATGTTTGGCGGGTGCTTTACAAGTATGGAATCCACACGTCGATGGGATCGAGTTTGAGATGGTTCATTTTGTGCAGTGCCCTGACCTCCTTCATTCTAACTATCTTGTTTTCAATCAGGCTGATTTCGAGAAGATGGCAGAGGATGTGAAGAAGGTGAAGTCCAGGCCAGAGGATAAAGAGCTCCTTGAGCTGTACGGACTTTACAAACAAGCTACTGTCGGTGATAATCATATAGGTACAAGCCTGGTCTCCTTTACGCCATCTTTCTTTGGAAGGACTTTTGCAGTGGAGTTGCGTGTGAGTGAGTTCTATTTTATCCCATTTCCTTCTCAGATAAACCTGGGTTGTTCAACCCGAAAGCAGATGCCAAATGGGAAGCTTGGAATTCCAGAAAAGGTAGAGTAATAAAATATAAATTAACCTAGATTGATCCTTCAATATAACACATTTCTCCAGTGCTATGTTACAAGTAATAGTGCAGTACTCTTTCTATGAACACAGGAAAGTGGTTTATGCAGGCTGCTTTTGTTTTTAAAAAGTGTTCTAGTCTGTCTAGACTGTAATTAATGTGGTTGATGAGAAAAGAAGCACACATGAAGCTGGTTGCGGACTATGGTACTAAGCATCCCTGGAAAGTTTGTCTAGTTTGTGATGTAATTGGGGGTTTTACACATTACTGTGTACTTTTTATTTTCACTGTGGTTTGAAATGCTCTTATCAGTGCCAGTTCTTTCCAACTCCAAAATATTAAAACAGCGTTGGGAGTTACAGAAGTGACTCGAGACCGTGAGGATCTCTCCTCCTGCAGAGGACGCAGTCTCATGGCGTGGTGGAGCTCTGCTCTGTGCTTAGCCAGGATCGGATCCCAACAGAGCCCGTTTAAAGCTTTGTTTCACTCCTTCCCCAACAGGAATGTCAAAAGACGATGCCATGACTGCTTACAATGCTCTTGCAAAGGAGGTAATCAACAAATATGGGATGTGAAGAACACCACCCCAGCCGAAGTCAATCACTACCTTTTTATTTAGGGACCCAAGACGTCCTTCCACTCACCTGAGAATGCAGACAGCATAGAGGGTATTTTCAGTAGAGGATATTTAGTATTTTTAGTTTATGTTCAATTCATTTATGTAGCAATTTGTTTTGTATATTTAACCTCTTATTCAACTGAATCTTAATAAACTTTTTATTGATTTAAAATGTACAAGGTCTTTGTCTGATAATTAAATTAAGATGACACAAAATAGCTATTTAAATGACAATTTAAAAACTAAACCAAAGCTATCAGCCCGTCAAAGGGCAGGCTTGCCCAGAGGACTTCCAGTGTTTTCATTGCGGCACGATTCACAGTGCTGAAAACAATCACTTCTTCTCAGAACTGCTCCTAGATGAAACTGAATCAAAACTGGATACTTTCTTTGAGAACTGAAATAACCCGTATCAGACATTAAATCAAATATATACAGTATATTAAGAATTGTCATACTCTTAACATTGAGATCAAATAATACATGTTGTTTTTGAACACTAGTTGATTGGAATATAAATGAACTACATTTCTTTCTAATGTCTGTAGGATGTTCATCTGAATTTGGCAGATGCTGTAGATCATGATTTTATGGCAGAACATTGCATCATTTCATATAGTCCATTTCAGCAGTCTCTAGATGTCTTGTGATGTAATCCAATAGAATCTTTTCATTGGTTGGATCTTTTAAGTAAAAATGAGATCCTGGGAGCATTTTTATTGTGAATTCTCCACTTGATATATCTTTCCATGCTGTAAAAAAAAAGCAAAAAAAAAGCAGGATATTTTTTCCTGTTAACAATTAGTTATTTCTGAAGTCTAAACATCTTTTCATAAACTTTAGTGATTTCAGCAATTTACCATAATCACTAAAATTAAGAATTTTGCATAATTAATAAGAAAACTTTTAAATAGTAATCAACCAGTTAAAGAGAATCAGCCATTGAAAAAATCTTAGTCTTGAAAACCAAGAAAAAATGCTATTAAAAGGCCTTGCTACAGTCAAATGCTAATTCAAGTTTGTGATTTCTAATTAGCAGATGAAATGTAGAAACGTCATTAATAAGACCAAATCTGTTTATTGTGGGAATTACAAAAGTCATAAAAACATCCAGGCATGCAGGGATCTAGTTTAATAGGCCTCACTCTTTATTTTAAGTGTTCATTTTCTAAATGTTTACCTCCCATTTAAACACTAATTGGCAGTATTTACATCTTCGCTTAAAGCCATTTTAGTGAAATGGTTTGTTGCCCCCTGGGCCTCTTAATGTGAGCACTTAAGTTCAAGAGAAGGATAAATCCCATTTCCTGCCAAGAACCAGCTTTCTGTGCATAAAAATGGAACTTTAGACCATTATGTCTTAGTACTTATTGTGCTAACACCTCTTTAACATCCCTAGCACTACTGCCATCACAGCAATGCAGTGAATCAGAACGAGTAATAGGTTTATTCCATGCTGAAAAGAGAAGAAAGAAAACACAACGTTTCGGCCGTGGAGCCTTCCTTGGGTTGTACCTTACACCTGAAGAAGGCTCCACAGCCGAAATGTTGGGTTTTCTTTCTTCTCTTTTCAGCATGGAATAAACCTATTACTTGTTCCTCTATATAAACTATATGATTACACACGATACCAAACCCCATTGAAAAGAATGTTTGCAAATCTCATTTAAGCGATGGAAAGAATAAACCCATAAATATCCACCTGATGCAAAATCTAGTGGATTTCTAACTTCAGGGCTGAAATGCAAGTTTCACAGGTAGCGATCAGTAACTGTGCTTGACGAACTGATTAAGCAAAACACTCACTGACTGTGATGTGAAGTGAACAGCACCCTGCCTTGTTTTAGAGATCCATTTTTGCAAGTGCAGTAAGACAAAATTAGACCTACATTAACTGTGTTAAGTGGTTTCCTAGGAGCTACACAAGCTTGATACTGACCCCACTGGGATACAGCCTAAGAGACTGACATCTTTACACAGGCCAGATTATAAAGCTAGACTGTGTGTGCCAGATTTTCTCTTGCTGTTCACCCTAAGACTTTTGGATGCCAAGATTCCAAAGTGCAAAACCAATGAAGCACCCAACAGTCACATTTGCTCATCTCTGAGCAGAGCTTACTCTGGCAGGCATACCAGAACAAAAAAAAATGTGTTTCTTACCTTGGAGGTCATGTGGAATATCCTGAGTCCCATCAAAACACGTAACAGGGCAAGAGAGAATACTTCTTTCAGGCTTGAGGTATCTGTGAAACAGTTTATCCCACAAACATATTTTTCTCATTAGATGGCTTTTAAAATGATCGAGTTTATACAGGTTTATGATATTCTAGGAACTACTGAAGCTGAAAGCAACTCAATTTAAAAAATCGGCAAAATGATCCACACAACAGGCTCAGCGTTTTATTACATTTTTGTTTTCTTGATAGAATCGATCAAACCAGTCTGTAATAGCAACAAATGTTTTTTTGCCTCCCCAAATCTTAGGGGAAAGATTCCATTGGGACGATGACCCAGAGAAGAAAGTCTTTAAGTGACCCTGTCAAAGTCCTAACATGAATACACTAGGAAGTATCTGTGGCAAGACAAAACCTCATCAACGATCCCTAGCCAACTAGAAAAATTGAGCAAGTATGCAGAAAATGAGCAAAAACTGCTCCATCCTAATGATCTAGACTTATCTAGATCTAGACTATTACAAATTATAAAGTCAGTTATAATTGTCGTCAAAGATGCATCCACCAAGTATTGACAAAGGGGAGTGAATATTAATGCAATTAACAGTTTAGTTTTTATTTTTTCTTTGCAGTTTTTGTCAACATTTAACTTCTTTAACCCATAACAGTCCACAGTTTGAGAAGTCAAGTTCCAAATACAAGTGTTCATTTGAAAAAAAAATACACTGTACATAATTGGTATTTTAACAAAATGGGACATCTTTGAAAGGGGGTGAATATGTTTGCAAGGCACTATATTTAGAAAAATATAATTTTTGGATTGTATTGTTGCTGAGAGATCTAATACTGAACTTAGAAAATGTCATGTTTTCATTTATTATTGCAAGTTTCTCTTTCACTGTAACCAGGATATGAATGCATTTGGAGTCAACTGCATACAAGCCTATTGCAGTCATTGTCTTTATATAATCATTCTGTATGTTTAATACCACACAAAGCTAAACAGAAAATTTAAGAACACCTAAGTTATATGCAAGCTGCCACTTTAAAACAAAAACCTCCCTCCAACACACACACAAAAGAAAAAACACAAAACTGTCAGGAAGTTGTAAAGGGAAAGTGGAGGAGCAGAAATGAAAAGGCTGTTTGAAAACCTCTTTCCCTATAACTCAGATAAAGTGTAACAATCAAACAGATAATTAAATCCAGACCCCCACTTATTACTGAATGGTATTTGAAGATAAAGTGAGATTTTCTAGTTCCTCTCCCCTCTCTGCAATTGCCTTGAAAAGATAAAGAAATGCCTTCCCTTTGCACAGCCTGTTTATATTGAAAATTACCTATAGTTCTCGACAACACTGAGATCTGCTTTAAGGACAGGTAGAAAGAGCTTCAGAACTTCTTGGTTGGTTAGAATTTCTGGGGGCGTTCCTCCAATAGAAGTTAACCAGTTGAGAAACTCTTCATCCGTAAGATCACTCCTCTTCGTAGCACACAGACGGGCCTCTGACTAAAGAAAGTGTTGCTTTAAGAGATTTGCACATTTCAACTTACAATTTCTTGTAAAATGCATTTGTTCTAAAACCTCAGCTCCTCTACTCTCACACAGTGAACACCCCTGTCAAGGCTAGACTTTGTACTGCGATGTTGACTGTAGCCTGATCATCTTCACGCTAGAGAAAATCAACCCATAAGCTTCACTCCCTGCTGCTTTTGTTGAAGTGCAGTAACAAAACCCTTCTCTATCGTCTGAAATAATTTAGTGGCATAATATTTTCAAGAAATTATTTTTGAACTGTTAGGTTTGGGAGGGATTTTGCAACACAAAGCACAGCGAAGTACTAAGGTTTTTAACACCTTCACAACTTTAAAAAGTTGGTCAGTTCTACACAAGCGACTGGGATATTGTTGGCCAAATGGACGTTTTTTCCAACCTTAGCCACTGTACTGTATAACTGCTGCTGCAGACTTAATGGTTGCATTCCTGTCAGTTTCCTCCTTATCCAGATGCTCAGTTTGGAGGGCCTGATGTAGGCAGTGTATTAATGAAATACTTCACCAAGCTCAAGCAGACATTAAAGGATATTTGACATGTTTTCATACCCTACTCCTCACCTGTGCCTTATACAACTTTATCTGTGAGCTGTTTTGAAAGCTCCTCAGTCATCATCATTTAATCATTGGTTAAAATTCACTGTGGGTTCTTACAGAGAAAGGCATAAAAACATGGGAAATAGTTATAGCACATAGACTGAGACCACTCAATTAATTGTGGGCCTTGTTAAGGTAATTGTGTACACCTAAGTTGAGGTTTGTCACAGGAAAGGTATAGAATTTAACAGTATATGATCAGGATTTTTCAATTTTTTCCTTCAAATGTTCTGTTTACTCCTGCTTTATCTACTTACTTCTTTTTGTGCATAATAAATATTATTCGCTACTTCAAAGTGCCATCACTACAAGCTTTAAAGCCACAAAATGTGAATACTGTGTAAAACTGTGAATATTTTTACAGGGCACTATAAATATGACTTTACAAAAGAACCGAAGAACAGGTCAAACGCACTTCTAATTAAAGTTTCTTCTGTTTGATGCTTAATTGAATAGATAGAACATTTCCACAGGTTTTAGGTTGCTTATGACTTAAACAATCTTAGAAAACATCTTAAAATGAACCACTTGGGCTTCAAAAGCAAGAAGCCGAATCTTCAGTCATCTCTAAGGGACCTGCTGGACTGTTTGAAAATGTGGTCTCAATGCTTAAAGCAATTCTCCAGAGGTCTTATGAAAAAATGATAGTTATTACTCAATATTATTACTTACCTTTACCCCAATTCTTTCTTAGCTGAATGATTTGAGCTACCTAACATTTGAACAACAACATATTTCCTGTGATACTGATGGTCTAATTTAAAATTAATAAAATGGGACTAGTGGTGGATATTGCTGATCTCCTGGTCTTATGAACTGTTCCAACAGGAACAGTTCAGGAGGGATTTATTATTCAAAAGTATTTTTCAAAGTACTTCAGTTTCGCAACTTATTTTAAATTGGTCCTGGGAAACAAAAGGTCAGCCTGCAAACAATACAGGCTGAAGTCTGTAAACAGAACTTGAATGATGTAGGTTCAAGTCTTAGATGTGGTACTATACCTTTGTGCAAGGTACTGTAGTTCACTAATAGCCAGCTGTATAAATGAGTACACACTTTAGACACTTCAAAACACAGAATGAAAAGGATACAAGTGCCAGCCACATAGCAATAACAGCAAATGGCTCAGCTGGGATTAGAACTTTCACGTTTGCTTAAAGCCTTGGTTTGCTGCAGTCAGGAGTAATAATGAGTTCTGAGACTGGCCAGGCACCACTGAGCTTGTAGTGTTTTTCAGGGAGAGCTTGATTACCCCTCCATTTGGTGTTAACTGTGCAGTAGCAGGCACAGCAAGGGTCACTGTGTGAAGAATGATGGATGACTCAGGCACAGGATGTCTCAGAAGTGTGCACAGTCCTCGTCTTTGCTGTTCAGGGATGATGATTAATCAATATGCTGAATTGAAAGCTTAAGGACCCAGCTTACATACATAACTTCTATTATTTGTGCTACTTTCTAAATTAATCCATTCATTAAATTATACAATATAAAGTTAATTGCCTCTTTTTGTACCCGTCAGGTTTCTTGGGCTTATTCAAGATTCAATATTTATTGCCATACCAATTTAGTTTATAGGAATTTGCCTCAGTGTGCTGTCAGTTGTCAGTAAAACAATAAGACATTAAAAAACATTTAACATTAAACACAACATAACATAAAATCATAAGGTAACAAGAAAGAATCTCATACAATATTAAAATAAAATGAAATAACTGATGGATGAAAGGGGTTTATAGTCCATTTACATTGTCAATAGTCATCATAAAGTACTAATGTGTAATTGGAAAGCTGTTCAGTATCCGGACAGTCTTACAGTAAGTACTATTAAGGAAACAAGAGGTTTTGGTCTTAATGGTTCTAAGTCTTTTTCCTGAGGGAAGGGGTATAAAAAGGGAATGAGCAGGGTGTGCAGAGTCTCGGGGTACTTTCAATCCTTTGTGCTGAATCTCATAGACAGAGATGCAGGTCACCTCACAGCCCATGTTTTTTTACGCTGAGCACACAATTCTCTCCAGTTCACTCCTCTGCTCAGCTGTGGAGTTGCCATACCACACAGTTATTGAAAAGGTAAGCACACTTTCTATCACAGCTTTGTAGAACATCCCCTTTAGGCTGAACTATAATCCACAAAGAGGACCCATTCATAAGTAGGAGGGGCTTCTAAGGGCTGCAAGACTTAGGGACAGCATCTTCTACGGACCTATTTGTATGCAAACTAGTAGGGATCTAAACTAACCACTTTAGACAAGTATTTACATATCAGGCGCTCACAAATTTTCATTATTACAGAAGTTAAGGCAACAAGTCTGTAATCATTCAGGCAGGTGATATTGGATCTCGTAGGCACAGGAATTATGATAGCAGACTTAAAACAAGCTGGTACTTTACATTGCTTAAGAGACCAGTTACAAATATCAGTAAAAAAGATGCAAGTTCATCTGCACACCATTTTAAAATTGCAGACGATACAAGATCAGGGCCTGCTACTTTCCTGCTGTTCTGTCACAAAGGGAGGGGTCAGTGAACTAGCCACTGCTGGCAGACTGCACAAGCCTGATGGAGCACTGTCAGAACGGCAGTAAAATTCATTGAGGATATCAATGATTCTCTTCTCACGTGCTGATATACAGTATGTGTATACCACACTTCATCAACAAACCAACCCAACTGCACATATTTACAGTATATGGGCTCTTTCAGAAACAATTCCAAAACCAAGTATAAATATGACATATACTTACATGTGGAGCTGAAGCACCAGATACAAAGAGATGCACTGGCTCTAGACCATGAACTCGCTTCAGATGATCTGCTGTAGCAAAACTGGCCATAGCCCCAAAGCTGAGAGGGAAACATTTTGAAGTCAATTGCAAGCGCTTACCTGTTCCATTTCTAATGGGTGATATGGGAATCTTTGCATTGTTTTGCTTTGTTACACTGCAAACCATTGCACACATGTGGCTGACTTCCAACATCAATGTTATACAAATCATGCTCGGCACACTGCTGTGAAGATCATTCAACCTGGTTGTGAGGTTTTAAAACCAGTTTATAACATAATTTTAAAAAAATCAAAACACATTTTGCTTTGCCATCGCGCTTTAGGCGTTTTATCTGGTGCCAACGCAACACACAGTAGGTCACACTGAACGTCTCTCCACTCCACGGCCCTCTTTTCGGAGTACTCATGGCTGCTGTACGGGGCTATTTCCATACCTGTGACCAAACAGTGCAAAGGGCTTCTCTCTGAGTTCTGGCAACAGCGCACTAACCACTTCATCCACAACCTGCTGCATGTCCATTAAGAAAGGCTCCTTTGCTCTGCCTTCTCTTCCAGGGAGTTTCACAGAGTAAACTGGACAAAAAGAAGGTAAAAAACGGACTTCCGATCACATTTCTCTGATAAACTATGTATAGAAGTGAGGGACAGGACACTACATTTCCCTACTTGCAAGAATGTTTTTTTCAGAGAATATTCAATATAGCACACCAAATATGTCAGACTCCAACATCAGCCTGAACGCATTAGCTAACTGCTAAAAAGACAAAAAAAAAAGGTCAATTGGACTTCATCAAGCATTAGTTTCTAAAAATAATATTGAATAACATATTTACACTAAGAAAAGAGCTCAAAAAACATTTAGAGAAGCATGGGAAACTGCACCTTTAAATGTACACTACTCCTCCCAGGCAAGTCCACTGCCCTGCAGTGCTGAAAACAACAATGGGTCACTGCTGGGGGAATGAAATTAGACACAGGCTGCTATTGTCTGCTCCTGTAAGAAAAAGCTCAATGAAGCACTGCTACCACAGCCACAGCAGAATTAGATGTGACTTGAAGGAGAATGTAAGTTGGAGCATTCAGGCTTGCGAAACGGGTCCTTTCAAAGGCTAATACCCTGAATCCGTGCCAGACTGGGGCCAAGTTTTCTGAAGAGCTTGGCATGGCAAAAAACTCACATCAAAACCAGTTTCCTGTATTTAAAACTGGTCTGGAATTCCAATGTTCTTTCCAAGGGAGAAACGGCAAAATCAATGCCAGAAATATCCGATGCTAATTAAGCAACAACTGTGTTCCAGAAAGAGACAAAAAAAAAAGCATTTCCAAAGTCCCTGAAGGAAACACGCTGCTTTTTAATGTTGATGTAAGAAGTGGTGTCGGTTTTTTTTATCAATTCAATTCACATAGATTTGATGCTGTTGTTTCACCGTCGGCACAACAGCTGCTTAATGCGTAGGACAGAGAAAGAGTGTATCAACTATTTCCTCAACCACCAGCACTGAGAGGAGGAAACTGACACAGGAAGAAGAACATCCCGAGGGTGAGCCCTAAAGAAAGTTAAATTACACCCTGCGTGAAAAAGCCTACTGCATACTGGTTGAAAAGTTTGAATATTAATCATTCACTTGCAACACAAAGCCCTTTCATTGTTAAGACTGGGCTATACCCGTACCATTATCAAGAATAAATAAACTATCCAGCTACGTGACAAATTGTGAACCTAATATGGGAATTCTTTTCATGTTGCAGTGATGAAATAATTACACAGACCTATATTTTCTTCAGCCTTGACTTGCATCTATTTTTATGAAATGAGTTAGGACTAACCATCCCAACACAAACTTTAACTACAGAATAACTTCCTTTTCATCACCCCTGAGTATGATTACGGGCCTACACAGAGAGGACAAAACAATCCAATACAGATCTTTTTGTTACACCTGGTTGAGCCTGTCTTATTTTAATCTTTAGATGTTCCACACTCCTCACGTTTCGTCTTGTGGTTTGCATGGTTCTAACTGGAGAACATGTGGTCCCATAAAACAAACTAGAGATTACATTTTGGGCCCTGTTTAAAATAATGTATCTGCAAATACAGCTCTTACCTTTTCATTTTAATCACAGCACAATTATGATTTCTGCCATTCTCAAAATTGTTCAGATAAATAACCGAAGGAGGAAACTAATAAAAATGAAAAGGATAGATCTGACGGCACAGTAAACACTGAACTCAAATTCTGCACAAATTTCTAATTCTTCAATTACCGCCATCTTCTGGAAAATGACAATTATTGCTGTAGCACGGTTTTATCAAAGAAGTGTTTTCAAGCATGTTTCTCATTAACTAGCCTAAAAGACCTCTAAAAAAGGCAATTATAAAATAATCAAAAGAAATGTGACAGCAGCATCTAGATTTTGTGATTCTACATCCTACTGGCCACACAAGAGCTTGGAACGGTGCGATGTAGAAAGGGCTTGCGGGAAATTTTGTGCTGAAAAAGCTGGGAAAGACTAACCTCACCTTCTACTGAACTGTTGAGAAGGCTCCCCCAGCGAGCATAATGAATAGAACCTCCTCCTGCCCAGGGGAAACAAACCAGTCGCACCAGAGCGTCCGGACGCTTACAGAAGCAGTTTATACTTTTCTTCATCCTAAAAAACAAGAGTTCTTGTCTTACACTGCATGTAACGTATTTGAGATGCTTGCATTTCAATTGGAAGCATGCTATATTTTCACTTACAGAAGAAATCAGAAATCTTACAGAAGAACAGTATATGGGCAAGGTTGCTCAGTGTAAGACATACCCTCGGGGTTGTGTGGTATACAGAGCAAGCAAGCACTGTGCCTCACGAGAACGAATATTAATTAGCTCCTACTGTTTCCCAGCGCTGCAAAGCGGAAATTTTCTAAATAGACGTCTAATGTCACATGTCTGCTTATTTTGATTTTAAAAATATGCAAGGTAGAATAAAAGGTCTATTCTATTGCTTTCCAATATTGTGGGACAATAAAAGCTCATTCATATTCATTTATATAATATACCGTATATAGAGATGTGTGCGGCTGACACCCTTCGTCTATTCACAGAGCAACACAAGTCCCGTTTCCTTTACTTCATCACACAGCCTTCCATTTGATCTTCTTTCTGGATATTTTGTTCTTCCAGTGATAGTCAGTTCTTCAATGCTTACTGCGCACTGCTAGATCCATTTCTTTTAAGTCTCTTGTAACGATGTCACAAACTTGTTTCTGACATAACCCATTCAGTTCCGCCGTTGTCTCTTTCTGTTGTCCTGAGCACACAGAACTCCAGACTTCTTTCTCATGCCTGCAGTCAGCACAGCACTACTGCACCCACGGCTCAAGTTTCACATCCATAGGCTAGTACAAGCGAGACAAAACTGTCAGACCTTTCCTTTGAGGCACTAAAGTGTGTTCTCTGGTACATTTATAATTCCCAAACCAGTCTGGCTCTCTCTTTATATCAGGTAATACTATTACAGCTTCAGCTGATACTATTACTTGCATCAAATATATACTATATAATCCTTCCCTTCATCCAGCTTAATTATTATTTCAGCTTTGGGGAAAACACACGATTAATATCACATGGGGTTTCGTTAGTGTTCAGTGCAAACTTAATTATGCTGATGCCAAATCAGATGACTTAAATGAGCTTTATTAATCTTCAGTCCCTTGTGCTTCCAATTAATTTCCTTGAAAGCTTACTCCAATGTGCTGGTATAAACTTTGGAAATACTGCAGATCTTAGTGGGCACCTTCCTCAATCCTAATTGTTTAATTAAATTGTGCTAAACAGGGCTTTACAGACCTTTTCCATGATTCCGTTCTGAAGGAAAAGCATGACACAGGGTTAACTAAAGACTAAAACCCTTCCAATAAACTCTGCAAGGACATCATTTGGACTCAGCTGCAGTTAAACGTTGTGTTAGCATGAGAAAGTACTCTGGAAGGAAAGACAACATACTGTACATACCAGGCCACCTAGTATATCACAAAAGATAAGGTATGAAACAACAAAGTTTTATTTAAACACACTGAATGGGGGTCAGAGTCAGTTGTGAACATTGCATGGATGGCAGTAAACTAATAATAAATATTAGCATTAAGAACAATTAGAACAAAGAAAGTTGTGTGCCTTGTTTACTTCTTTAGAATTGTTTCCTCAGTGTCCCATTTTCATAATTCTTTAACCCATGCTTTCTCTGTGACCAACAATTGGGACTCTTCATGTTTTATATTTAATCAGTTGACATCCCCTTTGAGTTACCGTAGGTTTCCCAGTTTGAGGTACTACATCACTAAAATTTAACTCTAAAACAAGGCAGGGTGCTATTCACTTCACATCAGTCAGTGAGGTGTTTTGCTTAATCAGTTCCTCAAGCACAATTACTGATCTCTACCTATGAAACTTGCATTTCAGCCTTGAAGTTAGAAATTACCTAGATTTTGCATCAGATGGATATTTATCGGTTTATTCTTTCCATCGCTTAAATTAGATTTGCAAACATTCGTTTCAATGGGGATTTATGTAGTGTGCGGTAATCATATACTTTATATAAAGGAACAAGTAACAGGTTTATTCCATGCCGAAAAAAGAAGACAGACAACACGATTCGACTGTGGAGCCTTCTTCGGGTTACACCTCACACCCGAAGAAGGGTCCACAGCCGAAACGTTGTGTTTTATTTCTTGTCTTTTCAGCATGGAACCTATTACTTATTCCTTTGCAGCCTACGCATGCTGACGCAGCTGCTCACCTAAACTATAATAGCAAAAGTTCAGAGCAATTTCTGTTCGCTACAGTTATTCTCAATTAAAAATTGAATCGGTTAACCGACAGAACCGAATGAAACCGAGAAGGAAAAATCACGCATAGCAAAACCACGGTTATTGACACTATTCGTACGACACCCACAATAATTTTCACACTAATCACATTTTACAGCGATATCAGGTCTATGTATTGCAACTCTTGCACACGCGTATAGTCAAAAGGCGTGGATAAGATCCACCATTCAATACTACCGGTTCCTCAGAGCAATCAGTCTACCGAACAGCAGAGCTCATTTTAACCAGGTCTGCAGCGGTTTCCAGCGTACCTGTCTCGAGTCACCCGTCCCGAGATCGAGCTCGCACTCCCGCACTCAGCCGCTTCCGGTTCAGCGGGGAAAGGTCCTCCTCTTCCGGCGGCTCGGGTTACTGGGGGAAAGGTGATGTTTTCTGCAGGAGTGGGCATTGAGGTGAGCCGTCTGCGTGTTTGTCAAAAACACACCTTGGCCGAGGAGGGACGGTGTGCAGTGCGTGCTGGACAGCTTGTTTCCTTTCGCGGATTGCGTTGAAACGGTGAGTTAAAGGGGAAAGAAAACAAGAGATGTCCATTCTCTTATTCTTTCGATAAAATTCGAGTAGTCAAGAGTTAGACTGGAAAGTTCAATAATATGAGATCTTTCTGTACTCCCAGACGTTGAGGACATAGTCGTTTTGGTTGGTTAAACGTAAGCTTGCCCAGTCTCGGGAAATTTCGCTACAGTGATTGTAATGAAAAAAGTGTTTTGCAGGAGGGTCTGCTCTTTCAACTGCAAACAGATTGATTGTTTGGCAGGTGTAACACTGAGATACGGTTTTCCGAAATAAAACTGCTTTTTTGGGGGGGGGGATGGTTTGCTTTCCAGTGTGGAAAAAAATCTGCATGTCGAGTTAGTAAATTCAAATTAAAAATGATAAATATTTGAGCGATTTTCTTAACTAATCGGCTCTGTG